ATGAGGATGAGAGTAATGTTATGGCAGAGAGCATCCTTTAAAGTTTAGGATTGGGTTTTTTTTATGGTATATATATGTATATATATATATATATATATATATATACATATGCGTGTCCCATGCTCAAATAGTACAAAGGGTTTTGAAGGGGAAACAAGCATGTGGATGTTTCATGTACTTTTCTCTGGAGTAGCCCCCATTTTTTTTAATGATTTTCTCATTCAATTATTGTGTGCAGAAGCTCTGAAATAACTAAGAGCGTGCCTTTCCTCCCCACTACTAACATTACATTACACTTATACCATTAAACTACTGTTCCTCACCCTATCAAAATTACCAAACAAACCATTGGAACAATCACATGCAATCCCAATTTGCTTCTGTCCTGACATGGGACTTTCACAAACCAAAGCTGGCCTAGAGAATTACCATCTAATCCTGCTTTCCCAAACACCAGTCTTTTCAAATCAATCACTTACCTTTGCAAGTAATCACCAACTAATCCATTTGATTCAACCAAAACTTGCATGGTGAGTGATTTCCAAGGTAAAATTTGCATGTAAAGTCATGAACAGAAAGAAAATAATGGTTGGCCATAGTACATTACAAACTAACATGGAAAGGGAAGTTGGGTTCGGAGAGTCCCATAATTCTTGCAATGTTGACATATCTGATATTTTTAATAGAAGGAGATGCTGTACAACAACTTCCGTTGATGCTGTTTCTCAAAACCAGCCACTATATCGTCGATACAGTCCTCCCATGATTCAACCGCATCAATCTATTCAAGAATTCAATAAGAAAATTGTTTTCAGCATCTGAACATAACTTTGATGATATTGTGGAACTTTCAGGATACAGACCTCTTGGCACAGATCTAAGGTAAGCCGGGCTCCAATGGCAGCCTCTTCATGGTTATCTTTTACCTCCAAATTAATCACCAAGACAGTTTTCATAAGAATATGATCTCTATTATGAAGATCTGCAAGTTTTAAACACATTTCAGCCAGCAAAGAATCAGATTGTAATAGTAAAAGGCAACAACAGCTAGTCTAAGAATAAATGAAAGTTAAACGACCCAATATTCAGATTCTGAAGTATTAAAATTGAATTTAGTTAATTGTTAATCGTCTTAGAATTCCTAATCTTCTTTCTATATTTCAAGATTCAAATGCCAGCTAAGCTAGTTCCAATCATTCAGCAAATTATATAACTTGCAGTGTCCTTCTAGAGCGCCTGCTCCGCCAGATCCCATACAAACTCGACAGTAGAGTAGGTTTGTAAGTGATTTTAAGGCTATGCTTGGGACAAACTTCATTTGTTGAATTCATTAGGAAATCCACACTTAAATTAACTATGACATTGTGACATATCTTTCCACAAAATTAAAAAATTGAACACTTTTTTCTTAGAAGTTAAAGGTGACCACTTGAAAATCCCATAGTCATTTTTTATAACTTTTAATAGACTTTTCATCATATCCTAGTTGAAATAACTGTGCATTTACAAATGAATTCTACAGAAGTAGTTAATTTGCTCCAAACTTAGCCAAAACTCTCTGCTGCAGGAGGGAAGGGGAGAGAACGACAGCAAGAAATTGACTTAACCATTATTAAAAAAAAAAAAAGCAATTAATTTAACCAATTCATATTTTGCATTGGACTGCAACTGCTGTCAGGGAGCTCTTTTCATGCAAGGGACAAGAAAATAGTTTGAGGAATTAACCTTCAAGGACCATATCAAAAACCTTCTCTTCAAATGTAAATACCACATCAAAATAACCATCAGCAGCATTCTCTTGCCAGCGTTGTGGTGCCAATTTCACAGCTGAATTCCTCTTCAGCATTGGCAAAATACCATTACGCTTGTAACTGAACTGGGGTCAAGGTAACTAATAAAAATGAATAGTTCAGACACCAAAACAAAATCCACATGGCATACACTTCAATAAGTAAGTTGCTCCAGCACCATACACAGAGGTAAGTTGCTCCAGGACCATACACAAAAGTGTTCAGTATTCAGAACGCAATTGAACAACTACAAATCAGTAGCTACAAAGCACTTGCGTCTTGCTTAGTTCAGTTCTCATTTCATTTCTAACCAATTTCTACTTCTACCTTTTATTTGTTATGAAGTAGGAATTAAAATCTCGCATTCAAGGAATTCAAGGGAAAGTAGGGTAACTTACACATAAAATTACGTTGTAATTGTACATATTAAGACTAAAATAAAAAGTAGAGCCAGGAACCAGATAAGGATGGAATAGGAAGCGAACCAATTGGACTTTTCGTAAAATAAGCCTAGTGTTCTCATTATCCAGCAGTATAGTAAATAGAAATTCTACAAGTTTGAGCTAAGCTGTTGAATTTCAGGAATGCAAGAGTCAGAAAAAAAACACTAAAACCTCATAATATACGTCAATTTTACAAAACCATAGTCAACTGGATTTTCTTCCAATTTTTATTATATCAGTGTTTCAGTTTCATAAGATTTTCACATCTTATAGGCATAAAAGCTGAGTGAACTTTGTTGTTTTCATTGAAGTACCAAAAAACTAAAGGCCAGCAGATAACTTACAGAGTTTGAGGATGAAAAAAAATAACAGAAACTAAGATAGAATGGTAAACGGGCCCTCTATGATCAATGATCATAGCAAAAAATAGAAAAATTAAAAGATATTCTAATCCTTACCAGCTTGATCTAGTTGCTCCTGGCAACAAACATGCATGAACCATTTCACGAAGTATGTGTCCGGATAGCCCAAAGTCTATCATAACCTTTCAATTCTGATTCAGGTATTTCCAAAGTAAATGTTGATCATATATAACTTAGCAGCTAACAAAGTATCTGCTCATTGGTACAATCAAGAATTCCGACTTTTTGTTTTCTGCTAATTAAGTTTTTTATCAACCAAAACAAGAGCTAAAAGAGGTTAAAGGAAAAAGATTGACAAGCAAAAAAAAGAAGAAGAAAAGGATACAGCTCGGGATCCTTGCGCCTTAGTTCTTCAAACATTTGCTTATAGGGAGTTCCGAAGTTGTAGACATTTGGTTCTCTGAGTGAAGGTCCAGGAAGCTTCACATGAGCCCCTGTTCCATACGATGACACATCAAAGCCCTGCCTCTTCAGGAGAAAGTGTGCCTCCATGCTTCTATTTTGATTGGATGAACAGACCATTGCATACCGCAGTCTCATGGTAGACAGAAAATCTGAGAAGGACAAGGTGAAATCTGACTTTATTTCTTCTATGCAAGGCAGACAGAAATGAGAAATTGAAACTTTACCTAGCAACACAAAAAGACTCCAATGTAGAATATTATATATCTGGTCTATCCATTAGATAAATGCACTAAGCAGGTGCAAATCTAATCTCATAGTTAAATAAGAGTTCATATTTCTAACTTTTTTTTTCCTTAGAGGAGTACATGTTTGTGAAAAAACAAAATAAACACACTTCTCAGTTTTAACTTTACCAAACTCTTCTCAAGAAAAAGAAACATTCTACCATACAGTTTTGCCACTTTCTCTGTTATGCCGTTAGCTAAGCATGTTTCACTTCCTTTTCTTAAGGAAAAAGAGAGTATATTGATGAGAATAGCAACTTGACTGATTTGGGATTAAAAAAAAAAAAAGAAATTGTCATTGACCCTGCTATGATGGGATCCAACGTCATAACATTCACTTATAGCATAAATGCAAGGCACAGAGGAATGCCACAGAGGATTTACAAATTATTCAAAATATTAATGAAGTTTCTTAAATCCTTGACAGAAGAGAAAGACAACCCTTAAACAGAAAAAAACATAAGATCTAGAACATGTATCCCTCACTCTACCAAAAGAAGAGCCATATCTTCAGAATCCCTTCTATTTCTTTGCTCCAAGATAACCTCCAAGGTAATTAATGAGAAAAGAGAGAAGCATTTTTCCACCTCTTCTCATCCCAAGATACCTTGCCAAGCTCAAAGCTCACACTAACATTGCAATCACCAGCTCAGTTTAAGAAAGCCAATAGTATACAACAAAGGGAATTTGAAAATGTGCAGCATAAAAGCAAATGATTGGGGTTTCCGCCACCTTAAGATATAAAACCACTAATCAAGATTTCCCCCTTTACCAGCACATAGTAAAAGTCATTAAGACAATGAAAATATATCACTCGGTTGCTTGGAATGCAATAAAGCAAACACTGAGGAAAAGGGATTTGGGTATTAGGTCCTTGGCGAGGTTTAATCAAGCTTGGCTAAGTGGTTTTTCTCTTGTAAAGATTCTTCTAATGGAGATTCTTCAAAGCAAAATATGGCTTGTGGACTGACGAGTGGTGCCTTGGGTAGCAAGGAGCATTAAGTTCCAGTCCTTTAAGACGGATTTGGAGGAGCTAGGCAGACCTTGGCAGTCATGTTCCTCTAAGATGAGCAATAGTAGGCAGATAAGTTTCTAATGCTGAACGACGTGGCAATCAGCCCTTAAAAGAAGTCTTTCGCTCTATTTTTTCCATTGCCAGATTCAAGGAGGCAGGAAATGCAAATTGTTTTGAGTGATAAAGTGAGTGAATGATTGAGAGATAAATAATATCTTCTTGCCAGGGGAGAGTCTTCCTCTATCCAACTGGTATCTGCTGATAACCCGACTTAAGGCTATCTCAGAATGTTTTCTAGCAAGTCTTCTCACTCCCACCTAATGGCACCTGATGGGATTTTGGTCTCCTCCATGAGAAAACAAATGTGGAAAGCAAATTAGTCCGGAAAATTGCTTTTTTGCACTAGAATGAGCTTAGGGGAGGATCCTAACCACAGATAACTTGATACGAAGAGAGAGAATTTTGGTCAACAGGCTTTTCTTGTGTCACCATGAGAACAAATCCATAATCCATCTTCTTTTTTGATGCCTTGAAACTAGAAGGCTATAAGATTTAGCTCTCGTTCTCCTACTGTTAAGGCAGAGTTGTATGCTTGGGGTAGAATCTCACCTGGGTAGTCTAGGAGAAAGTTCTTGTCACTTATCCACCAACAGTTGCAATAATTTGGATTATCTAGATAGAAATGATAGAGCTTTTGACAACTTGATTATGGGGCTGAGCTGATTTGTTTGTGTTCTTAATATTTTCTATTTGAGAGATATGGAAAATAGTTCTATACACAAGTGGCAACCTTCTGCTTTCTAATACCATCATCTTTATACTCTAGGAAAAAGGGGACAAAATCACAAACAAACAACAAATCCAATAGCCGTAAGAATGGACCTCAACTCCCACATGCCGAGTTTTAAACCAAGGAGGAGATTGATCAAACACCAACAAAACTCCTAGTGTAGAGAAGCATATTGTGCACTTCGCTCTAATAAAATCTATTTATATTATTAAATATTAGTGTGTGTTTACATATATACGACAAATTTAAAAAGTGTTTATGCAACGCATGGTTAATTTTTCAAATCCACATGCTAAAGAAAATAAAATGCCAAACAGCAGAAAAGCAAACCTCATGCATACACATAAATACATGTATAATTTTTTGAAAACCTTATCCATGAAGTTTCCTTATTGGCCCATCAAAGAAGAAGAAAAAATTGATAAAAGAAAGGCATAGAGTAACTGCTACTTTGGCATAACCCAATCAGACCTATATATTACACACGTGTAAAGTAGTCATAATCAATACTATGCCATCTACATGTATAACCAAAACCACAAGCACACAAAAATATAACAATGTGAAACATTATTATTGCCCCATTCATCATTGATAACCATACATCCGTGTCACAACTGTAATGCCATGGCTCTTCAAACAAATAACTTCATTCAAGAAAAGAGGCTTATTTGATTTTCCACTCATCCTATTAATAGTGAGATTAGTCACCCAAATGGCACTAGTCAAGGCAGAGAAAATGAATCCAAAAAATGGTACCATAAATGAAGGGATGAATCCAAGTACACAGGCTTAAAAGATGGCTAACAATTTACTATGTGTCCTAAACATTTTATTTTAACGAAACTAACTAAAAGCAAACAATAAGAGGGGGTCGTACAATTTGATGCTAGAAATTGAAAATACAAACCAAAGAACAAATAAGGTCCAAGGAAAACCAGCCAAGCTTGTATGTTGATTGAAACAAGTCATGGAGCAAATAAAAATCACATTTTCAGCAACTAACTAGTGACATTTCAGCTGAACATTAGAACAGAAGCAAGAAAATAAAAAAAGACAGCAGGCAGCTAAAATTAATAAATTATGCCAAATGATTCTTGTCACCCTTTTCAAATTCATTCTTCCATTAATCACGCAATCACCATTTTCACATTTCTACAAGACATTCTCCTTTTAAAGAAGAAAACTCAAAATTGATTCTGCACTTTATCATGACAACACATGGATGGATGTTCAACTTTAAGTAGCAAGCAGATCAAGAGAACAGGACTCCCTGCATCATCATTTAAACAATGCCAAGGGAAATGCCACTATACTAGCAAATAACAGCACCCTCTATATTTACAAGACTGTGACAGAATCATTAATCATGAAGAATAGACAGACTTTTATCTACAAACCTTTTTCCAAAAATGAATCAAAACCATAAAATAAATAAAAGATTTGCTCCAAGAATTGCATCAGGATAGTAAATAAGGAACACGAACTTGGTCTACAAACATGCTGGACTGAAATAGGGTATATGGAAAACCATACCAAGAGACATCACAAAAGATTAGTTAATGCATTTCTAACTCCATGTTCATCATCACATAAAGAATGACATTCGTTCAAGCATCCGTCAAATCACAAATAAGCTTCATGCCCCCAAACTCAAAGGTCAAGCATTCCTACCCATGTTCCTTATCATCTTTAAGGATGATGTTCTTTCGGGCATTTGACATGTAGATTGCTTCTCAACGGTCGATAAACAATAAACAGGAGGCTAGACCACTCTCAAATTTGAACTTAGCATCCTCAATCACAAATCATGCATATATTATATACTAGGGCTAGAATGTAGTGAGTAAACACAAGAACTGACATAAATATCAAATCAGAATTGTTTCATTCATCCAGGAATTCTCATCTGCCAAAATGATTTACATCTTGAGTCAAGGACATGCTGATATGACTTACATCCTTGACAATCAAAAACCTTAAATAAATCACTAGTAAACACAGTTGTTAAGGTAGAGCAGTTCCTACCAACTAAAGCATTATTCCCAAATTACACATGATTATAACAGTTTTTAAGGGAAATCTTCTCTAATCACATTACATCTTTTCATAATAAAATGGTTGCTGAAGAGTATTTACCTACGCCACGAATCTCAAATATCCGCTTTGAAGAATCCTGACAGACCAAAAGCCTCTCCCTTTCTCTCGGTACCTCACCCTCTGGAATCCCCCGGTCAGCGTTTTCTCTCGGATTTCCAGCCTCCCAAACCTCTAATTTTTCCTCTAATACCTCCTCAGCTGTCTTTCCCTTTTCTTCCCCCTTTTGACTCTCTCAATCGTCCTCCTCTTCTGTTGAAGACCGTCCTTCTATAGGGTTCCAGGACAACTTTCTGCCTTCAGTTGTAGTAGCTACCAGCCACTCCTGATTCCCCTTCTCAGCTTCTTATAACGCCTCTGTCTGCTTTTGGTTAGCTTTTCGTTATTCTAATCTTTTTCTTCTTTCCCTCAGCTTTCTGTCCTTTCTGCCTTCTTCAGTCTCCGCCTCTGCTTCTTCCTTTCCTCTTTTCCTGCGAAACTCCAAGCTCACTTCTTTGTTGTTCCCTTCCTTTGCTCAATCAACACTTAGCAGAGATAAAAGTCTTGCTTCGGTGTTTCTTCTTCTTTGCATTTCAAGCCCTGCCTTGGGTCTCAGACTCTGCTTCTCAGCTACAGTTATGCAGAGGGTTTTTCCCCTTCTCTTCTGCCAAAGCTTCTCCCAAAAAGGTTTTCGTTTTTCTATTTCTTTTCCTTCTATTTCTTTATAACTTTAAAATATACTAATTGAATTATTTAGTTCATAAGTTAATTAGTCTAAATGTTTTTCCTTTGACACATATATAACGTATAACTACTACAACAATATTTGATGTATGGACATATTTTTTATCTCATACACCATCCATATCAAAATATATCTTGGACAATTTTAAATATGATTTTGCATCAATGACTACTGTAACAACACCATCAAGTATGATTCTTTAATGTGGTTTAATATGGTAATAATGGCGATGAGCTATACATATATTTCTATTATAAAACATGTATATATTTGTATTAAAAATTGTACGTACAACACCATAAAATATGGGCTCCTAGCCTTTCCCTGTATTTAGGGCATGACCAGAAAGCAAGGCAATTAGAAACCCTAAACTGGGCCTCCAAATAGCCACAAGTTAAACTATTTACAGACCCATACTTGCGTCTCTCAAATACTTTGTTTATTTAACGCTGACTAAACATACAAGAAAAGAAAAAAACTTTGTCATCATCGTCATATGTTCATGGAAGTTTGTTAACACAGTTTAACAGGGTCACCGGGTTCAGTAGACTCGAACAAAACCTACCTATAACATTATTACTACTACGATACTGCGTTACGGCGGCGAGCTGAGAAAACCCCCTTGGTGTTCTTCTTCATGACCCACCGAAAGGCTGTGAGGGTAAAATAGTTTGCGCAGGTGGTTGTATTTTTGGAGATCGAAGTTGTGGGTGGCGAAGAGCTTGGTCTGCTTGGCTCTGAAACGACGCTGGAAGTAGCCTTCGAAGGAGGGTTCTGTGGATGTTTTGAGAAAGAAGCCGTAGCCGATGGCAAAGTGAAGGGAGGTGACGAAGAAGCAGATAGGTTCCATTACATCCCAGCTCAGTTCCCAGAATGTTAACCTCATGAAACCAAGGGTTTGAATGAGTAGGAACCCAAGTCCGCAGTAAAGCTCTCCTCGAACCAGAGACCTCGCTTTTTGATCAATCGTCGACTTTTGCTTCTCCATCTGCTTCAGTTCTTCTCTTCTTGGATCATTTTCTGTACCCACCCATGCCGATATTATGCTCTCCATTGACTTAGCCACCTATTTGAGATAAATTTGGTTAAAATATAGGTAATTAAAGATTTACTAAGCTTCGTCCGCCTTCTTTATTGAATTTTTTAAAGAAAATCATGATCGTGGACGTTTGGCACTCAATAATTTCAATTTCGAGTCAAAGTTTCAGGTTTTGTCTTTACCCACTTTCTTTTTTTGTTTTTTGTTTTTGAGATAATGTCTTTACCCAAAATTCTGTGAGGTGCAGGAAAAGCTTTCTGCAAAAGATTAAAAGATTGTTGTATACCTCTTCTGGTCTGAGGAAGACGATGTTCCCCAAAACGATGACGTTTCCGGACTGGTCCAACAATTTAGCCAACTCTACGGCTTGGTCCTCATTGTTGCATGCTTCAACGCAGATGTTGATAAACTCATGGTAAGAAACAGAGGTGTTGGGAATCTCTCTTACCCTGGCCTTAACCTTCTCTACCTGAGAGATCCTCAACAACTTCCTCGTCTCCTCCACCGACAACTCCCTAAGTAAATTCCGATCCAAGCCTGTAGCCCGGACCCGGTCGCCGTCAAAGTTAATTCCTCTCAGTTTCTCTCTCAGTGCGTCGCCCACCGGCAGTGACAGGAATTCCGGCGGTTTCTTCAGCGATGACGGCTGATTGGCAGCTCTGCGGTGAAGGAATGGTCGGAGAAATCCAGTGTCAGGGAAATCTGGTGAGGTGAGGTACTCCCTGTGGTGGTTAGCGTTGGCGACATTTGGCGGGAGCATGGTTTTGAAGGAGGGAGATCGTTGCAGAGTGGCGGCTGATGATCCGACTCTGTAACTTTCAACCATACGCTTGGTGAGGATAGTTCGAAGCGCCATGGACGAGAGAGTTACAGAAAATTGAAGTTAGAAGGATGTCAAGGGAGATATTATGCGGGGGCGGTGATCATGGTGTGGGTTTATGTAGGATGCGACGATAGAGGAGGAGAATCAGGGGTTTCCATTTTATTCTTTAATATTTCTTTTTGTTTGTAAGAGAAGAATCTGGAGTGAATTAGCGAGAAATAATATTATTTTTTATTTTGTCATATTTATTATTTTACTTTTGTTTTCCTTTTTAATCAGCTTTTTCTTTTTGTAAAAGAAAAAAAAGACAAAAAATTAGACAAGTGTTGTGGGAGAATAATTGTAATTAATAGAGAGGATTAAGATTTAATTAAAAAGGCTAAATTTTATTTTATTTTATTTTATTACGCGATAAATAATAAATATATGAGTGAGGAATTATGATTGTATTGGACGGAGTGGGAAGTGGAAAACTGACGTGACGTCATGGAGATGTTCGAATTTTGATGGACAAAAATACCCCTGTCCTGCACATTCTCTTTCTTCCTCAGAGGCTGGAGCGTGGGACAGCGACCTGGTTGGGGTATCCCAAAAAGGATCACCCTGCGGCTCTTTTATTTATTTATTTATTTTTTAAAAATGTAAGAAAATACTAATTAATGTCGCTCTCTTTTACACATGATTTTTTAATTACATTTTATTAAAAGATATTATTAAATAATTTATTTATTAATATTTTAATTTTTAAAAATATTTGTAATAACCAAAATTAATTTTAAAATTAATGTATAAACTATAATTATGAATTTTTATTTAATGTAAAAATTTTAAAAAATAGGTATATAATGAAATTGAAAATAATTATTAAAAAAATGGTGAAAATTTAGATTTTGAGAGTATTTTTGAAAGATAAATCGAAAAATGATGGTCAAAACACAATTTAAGAAAAATATGTCACGTAGAATCGTCTAGTCAGCAGTCCCGACGAACCGGAGTGCACCGTGTGGCAAGGCAGGCTGACGTGGTGCCACGCGGGAGGCCACGCTGGCAATCTGCGTGCCCGCAATCAGACGGTCCAGATTTGTTCCTGCGCATGTGGACGATCCAGATCTGTTCCTTCCTCATGCGCGATAGGACGGTCGCGATTAAACGTAATGAACGGTTCAGATTCATTTCTTATTTAAATGCAATCAGTCCATATTAAATCGCGATAAACTGTGTATATTCATTTCTTATTTAAACGTAATCTAACAGTTCAGATTAAAAGAAAATAGATATAAATACCCCACTTTACACCAAATTATAACCCTAGCTGCTAGCCATTCCTCCGTCGGAGAAGAAGAACCAGTCACCGGGAAGGGAGCCAACCGCCGCCCACTGCTGCGATAAAACTACCTCCGACCGCTAAAAAAGGTAAAAATTATCTCAGTCGCTCGAAATTTGATTTTGAACACCCTCATGATCAAATCGGAGCAAAAGGGCTAGCGAATGAGCTGAAAACTGCGGGTAAAATTCGACGGCACCATCGCAAAAAAAAAACAAAAATCGCCTCCGATGAGGCTCTTTCCGATTCCCGTTTCGTACAATTATTCCACCATTGTATTCATCATTTTGTTTTCACAGGTTGATCTAAGAAAAACGCTCAACCACGAAGGTGAGCCGGCGGAGCCGTTGTATCGGAAAACCCCGCCACCGGTAAGCTTCTTTTTTTTTTTACTTTTTTTCAGCCAACCAAGGCCCATTAATGTATTTTCTCGCAAGAATGAATACAAAATCAGCTGAAATCGGTTGAAACTGGCAGAAAACAGTTGGTCCGATGCAAGCTATCGCTGGAGCATGACGCTGCTGTCGTGCGGGAATCTCGAAATTGGTCGAAAAATATTTCTAATACCGATTTTGGATTTTTGGGGGTACTTTGAGCGTGTTTTAATCTAAAAAAAAAAAATTCAGAGAACTCGATGACCGCTAATAGGCGTAGCTGAAAGTTTAGTATTTCAGATATCGATTCAAGTAAGAATTACTCATCTTATTATCTGTTATGAAATTAAAGTTTAATTATAAATAATACGATATTTTGCATAATTTAAAAAATATTTATGATTAATTATATGTTACTAATAGAGTCGAAACCGATTATTTATTACTATTTGTCATGTTTTAACTAATTGTTTGATTTTACAGTTTTGAATGCATGATAATACATTGAAATTGGTAAGATAATTTGATTGTGTTTTTTTTATGCATGTATTGCTTGTTTTGCATGATTACATTTAAATTATGAATATGAAAATTAAATGTAAAGAGAAAATTGTTTTATTAAATGAATGGATGAATTGTAGCCTTACTGGATATCCTGAGAGATGATGGACAGATCGGATGCATAAGGATCCCTACCGTGAATGTTACCTCATACCGGACGGGATATCAAATATTGGTATTTTGGCACTCATACCGACGGGATATGGGGGACAACCCGCTTCACCCTCATACCGGACGAAGTATTGATAAATGGTATTTTGATATTCATACAATATAGAATATAGGAACGACCAGTTAGTAGAAAATACTGAATAAATGTTAACGCGTAGTTGAGACATCCTTATGGACCACCATAGATACCAGTAGACATATAAAAGATAAAGTTATTATTCCGAATATTTGAATATGAGATTAAGATATTGGTTGTGTTATTGCCTCTATATGTCAGTTTTATAAATTTTACTACGGTAAGTGTACAATAAATGATTTTATTTATGATAAATAAATTTACTTGAATTAAGAGTTCCATTAGTTGTTTTCATTATTTTTACAAAATTTCATTTATGCATCGGTGAGTAGTGCGATATTCTTACTGAACTAGTATAGTTCATTATTTCATTAACCATTTCAGATAAAGATGACTAAAATTTATATCCCAATCTACAAGAAAGTTGCGAATATAATGTTCAATTATTTACTTATTTATTTAATTTGTCGTTGTTTTTTTAAAATAGTTATTCCCGTAACTTTATTGGGTATTCTGAATTATTGTGTAAGGAATCTAAACCGTAACGCTATTATTTCGCTTCCGCATTCAAATTTATAATTTATTTCATTTTAAGTTCCAGTCCGTTACAATATTCATTTCTTAAATTATGAAATTAAACAAACTATTTAGATAAAAAATTAAAATAAATTTATAATAATTAGAATCGGTCTATCGCTCACATTTTACACGTGACTTGCTAGTTTGATTTAATATTCATATTTATTATATTTGTTTAAAATATTATGAAATAGAAAGTTCTATCGTGTTTCATTAATATAGACAAAAAATTAAATATTATTTTTAGTAAACCAAAGCAGTTAGTAAATTTTTTATTACGATAATTTAATTTTTATTAGAATTTGATGTCAAATGTACGATACGAGATCACGTCACATATATAATATATATTTTTTTATTTTATCTAAAAAAATACCAAACATAATTTACTTTTTAAAATTATGTATAATATCAAAATTCACAAGAAAATAAAAGAAAAGTCATAGACGATTTACTATCGGATGGGTTATTATTAATTCACAACTTTTACGGTAATTTGAGTCGTTTTTAATTTTTTTTTTTAAAAATTAAATTTGGGGCGAAAATTAGGAAGACCAAAATATAATATAAAAGTTGACTGAGTCAACGACAACCAATGGTGTTATGGAACATGCCTAAAATGACTTGAATTACAATAACGATAATAATAATAATAATAATAATTAAAAAAAGTTGAAAATAAAAAGACTGGCCGTTTTCAGGCGGGGTAGTTTCGTCATTTTACAAAACTTGAAAATATTCAGTTTTAAATAATAATAATAATAATAAAGAAGGAGAAACAATTAAGTAGGAAGAATCCGAAAGTCATAAATCGCGGGATTTGTCATTTGGGGGGATTTCTCCCTGAACAAGGCATGGCTGCCATATGCCTTTGCAATACCCACCAATGCTTTGTCAATCGCCTGCATTTGTTGTTGCCACGCCTATTTTCTCCCTCTTTCTTGTATTCTTTTTACGTTTGTCAAAACTAATTTCTTGAATACCCGTGTAATCCTAAGGTGATGTAGAAAAAGAATCTACACAGTTTTTTTTTTCCCCCAAAACACGTGGTGACCATTTGGCAAAAATTCCGAATATTTGTGCGAACGAATTACCAATTACTATTTTTTTTGGGGGGGGAGGATATGGAATTAAGGCCCGGGGCCGCGTGCACAACTTGTGTTTTGGTTGGGATTATGCGCTACGCGAAGACAAAGAATCTTATACCTCCGCCAAAATTAGGGGGATTATCTGATTACGCTAATCACAAATTACGTCGTACTAATTATTGGTTTAAAATTTTTCTGTTTAATAAGTAAACAAAAATAATTAACCAGCAAGCCGAGCTGCTTGTAAATTTCAAACACTAATATGTTTCCTCCCAATACACATACATACACATATGTTACATATGTACGACATGTTGCTTTAGATTGTATATCCAACGTCCAATATGATTGATGAAACGTAAGAGTCCACTCACCACCATACTCCTTTAGATCAAACAAGTGTATTTCCCACGAGCACACATGTGTCCTGTTTGCTTCAACAAGTAGCTTAAAAGTGATGCTATATAAATATAATTTAGATTTTGAGGATCCAACGAATTAATAATGGATCATATACACACACACACACGTATCTATGTATCTAATATATTCTTCATTGAGGTTTCTTGTGGGAATTATAATGATGTCCATCAGTTTCATATGTACATGTACATGTATACATATATTTGAAACTGTGTGAATAGATAAAATATCATACATACATATATATATATATATATATTTATAGAACTTAAAATGGAATCGAAGTTGTACAATACGTAATGGCATATATGCTGGGTGGTATGAATGGGATAGCTCTAATCAGCGAGATTGAATATTCTAATGACATATATTGGGAGCAAGCCAAATGGGGTTTTGAATCTTGAATTAGTTCTACTTACATCTTGCGAGAATATAATGAGGTGCTCCATCACATCGTAGGTTATTTTAGAATCATATCACCAATTACATATTATATTATACGTATCTTTTTAGTTCTACGTAACTATATATATATACATGTGTAATATTACGACTTACCCAACAAATTTTAACCCTTGCTAAATACCCCCCAATACTCGAATAACAAGTCTCATTCATAAATTTGTTAGATTGTATATATCAAAGATTAATTTTACCGTAAATCAAGTTTTTATTTTTCTAGAAGCATGAATTTGGGAATCTCAGAATTTAATGCCAAACTTAGGTTCCAGAAGAAGAATCCATGATAATATAAAAATTTGAGCTCGCATAGCAGAAGTTGTCAATGTTCTTTTAAATACGTATGTGTACGTATATATACATATATATATATATATATACACACACGTATACGGTGGATGACAAATATTGGTTATAGTTGCTGAAATGAATAGCTAATAGAGACAGCTCTTAATAATTCCGTTTACGTACCAAACCAGGAATTAAGACAAAAAAAACTTGGTAAAAGAAACAATCAACATTAAAATGAATTTAATGTTTGAACCAATTCCGGAACTCCTATTGCTGATTGGAGACAAAGACGCCCCCCCACCTTGCGGGATCCAACTGAATCTTTGACCACCACTGATTGAATCTTTGACCGACACCGATTGAATCTTTCTTCTTTTTAATTTCAACCATTATTACTAAATAATATTAATTAAAGAATTCAAAATTCAATGTGAAAAAGAGCTGGTATTATTGTATGCCACGTGTAAATATATTTATTAATATAAATTTTGAGATCGTCATAAATTGAATTTTAAATTTTAAATTAAAATAATATTTTGAATTCCTTTTTTCAGCCCAAAGCCCAAAGCCAGAAGCCCAAAATATAATCTTCAGCCCAACAAGTGCTTCGGTATTTTTCTCTCAGCTTCAAACCCAAACCGTTTCCCACTCCCCTTCCAATCTCCATAAAACCTGTTTGTTTGTTTGTTTGTTTTGTTTTTATTACCTCTCTCCATTCTTGCTGCTGTTTACCTCATCCAAGCCATACAGAAGTCTCCTTCTACGCTACATCAATCATCGGCAAACTCCCACCGAGTCAACTTCTTTAGGAGCTGCTCCAACAAGCTTCTGTTTGCGTCGGTGAATCTCTGATCAGAAGCGGATTAGCATCCCTTCATATCTACATCGCAGACTGTAGCTGCATTTGAATCTTTTTGGCCTCTCTTCAAGCATGTAATCTTTCTCTTAACCGAATCTTTCTTCCTTTCTTGAATCTTTTGAGATGTGATTCACGGAAAAATCTGGATGGTTCGGTTTCGGTTATTTAGGTGTATCTTCACTCGCACAACGTAGGTTGTTTTTCTTTATTGGCGGTAGAGCATGGGGAAGTATTACTTCTAGTTGATTTGAGTATCTCGTTTGTACAATATCGTGGAGCTTGATGTTTGGATTTTGGGTTAATCCAGTGTTCTGTTTCGTAAAATTAAAAGTATTTAGCTAGACAGTACTATTTATTGTTTGGCTCCCTTTGGAACTATTATGCCTAGATGGTCTATGAATAAACTTGCGTTAGGAATGTGATGCTTTGGCTGTCATTCGTTGGCACATATTCAGTTTTGAGTAGACTCGGGTCTGGATTGTATTTAAATTAGCAATGCTACTTTATACGGATTTTCGTTGTCATTGTTTAATGTGGAAGCATATGTGCATACATATATTTCAAAATGCTTTGTCTACTCAAGCGAATTTACTTTCTGTTTGGGTGTATTGCAATGCATGTAGTTCAGACCTAGTATATTAGTCTGTAATTGGGGGTTTGAGGTTTTAGATCATGTTGAACAGCTTTGTTGGTATCACTGCCTTACGGGCCAAATCTGTAATTTACACATGGCTACAAGAAGAAAAATGTATATTAAGTTTTCTGCAGTTCCTTGCCAGTCTCTGTTCAACTGTTTGTGTTTTTTTCTTTTTCATTAGATGTAAGGAGGAGTTGTTACAGATAGTCAGGAGGTTAAACCAGCTGTTTGGAAATTACCTTTTCCTTTAGCAGTAATTTTAGGATTTTATATTTTTATATGACATTGTTATAAGTATGCAGTTCTATGAGCAAATTAATAAGCATAATTTGTCTTTAGCAAAATAGAGTTCCTTTCTAAACTCAAGATCATCACGTAGGACAAATATAGTTATTTAATCCAATTAGAGATTTGGAGATAATGAAGTAGACATTATACCTAGGGTTTATTAGACATCACATATAAGAATTCTTAAACATTACTTTTAATGGTTTGATTCTACCATACAACCAAAAAATTGAGAAACTCCCAAAATATTTTATTGAACAATTGGATACTCTGGCAAGAAGTAAAATTACAAAATATTTTGTAGTGCTCCCTAAATAACCTTTGCTAAATAGAATTAAGAAATACTAAAACTAAAATAAGACTAGGAATGCTAATCCTGATAAGATAAAACAACTAATTTCATAATGTAGGAAACTAATCCTAATGCTAATAGAAAATATTAAAATAAATAAAAAAACTAAATACTAATAAGAATAAAATCCTAAAGTTTCTAAGGTATAATGTGACTCGTAAATAGTATAATATCTTTACATTTAGTAGAGTTATAATTTCTAACCTCTCTTGATGAGCCTCTACCTCCACATTCAAGAGATTGAAAGGGTTCTCTCTTAATGAGCCCTTACTATTGTATTTAACAGAGGGAAAAAAAGGAAGAAAATCAAGCTAATTCTAAAAAAATTTACTAGAATTTGCAGTCAGCAAACTCGTAACCAGATCCTCCATAGCAGAATGCATCTTGTGCATGATTAGATCCCTCAGTTCCTTGTTTTGGTTATCTTGATTAGATTTCATGACCGTTTAGGACGGATTAGCAAGAGGTCATTTGTTAGGTTTATTTGTTTAGTGATATCCTTTCAGACTTAAGCTTGTTTTGATATATATATATATATATATATATAGATACTGTGTTTAGTTGTTTCTCGATAAACAGCTCTTTAGTTTGATTTATTTATTAAAATTTGAGTTTCTTGCATTTTCCAGGCATATTAGGTAGATGAAAATTCTAATAAAGCAACCGATTCCATTTGAATAAAATAAGCCACAATGAGCTGCAAGGAGTTTCTAATGCGTGTTTCACTCAGACAACTCACGCAAAACTCCAACTTGTTACATTTAAGATAGCATAACCTCTTCTTCATTTTCTGCCAGTTTAGTTCTATGAACAAAAAGCTTTGGTTAGCATTTCATTTTCCCTTGAACAGTTGATGATTATCTTCGGGAGTAATATTGTTTCTTAGTAAAAATTTAACCTTTTCATGATGGATGGATTTATTGATTTCTTTGCATGTGACTTGTATACATCATTGTTTAGCATTCTAATCTATAGAGTAAAATAGTTGATAGTGATTATGTCCTCATATCCTCTTTTTTCTTTATTTCATTTTACTTTCCTTTGCTAGTTTCCCCTTTTCTCTTTTGTTTTCCTTTTTATTTTCTGGTCAGTGAGTAGAGTGTGGAGTGAGCCTTTTCAAAAGGAGATTGGAATCTGGAGAGCGTTAATTGAAGCAGTTGTTATAAATTTGCAATTCTTGTTTTGCAGAATACAGAAATTTCGGTATTGCAATTTGCAAAAGGAAGAACTACTGTTTGTTGGATGGACGAAATAAAGGGAACTTTGAGAAAGAACAGGCTTGAAGATGTGAGTTGGCTTTGTTCCCTTTCAGAAGCTGAACTTGTAAGTATACCCAACTATTTTACACGCATAGGAAGGTATTATTTTGTGCAGTGTTGAAATGCATGCATACGTATTTAGTTTACCTATAACTGGCGGAAAGCTTTTTTTTCTTTTCTCAAGTTCCTTTCATAAGAAGTTAGCCAAATCATTTGTAGCATGTATTATGGGTCTTGTTTAGTAAGTGAACTTCCAATAGTTATTGAAGTGAAAATTTTTAATTTGTGTAGATTAGGCGTAATGAATTTGTGGTAATTTAGGGTTAACAACATTGGTATAAGGTTCCTTAAGCTGATATGATACTGGTAAAATCTAAAGGAGAAACAAAAACATCCGTGCTTTTTATCTCAGCCAAGTTTTTTTTCCTGATGCTGACAATGAGTGCATGTCTTTTTTAGGATTTTCTTATTAGCTTAAAGATACTTGTTCTTCAACGTGCAAAAATAATCGGCCATGATGAACTAGCCAAGAAATTTGATTTGAGGATGCTCCGAGCCCTTGGTACGTTTTTTTTTATGCATGACCTAATGATGCTATTGGTAATTTTTTAGCTTTTACAGTTCGGATCACTAAGGATTGTAACTGTGCATAAAAGAAGAGTGCAAGTAGTTCTGTCATCTTCCTCCGTGCAATGCCAGGGGAATTTGAGTCCTTGGCCCCCATTTTTCTTTGAAACTTGAGATTATAAGACAAAAGATGCGAATGAGTAAAAACATATTTTATAATTATTTTCTTTTTTCTCTCCAGGATTCATTCTCATGGAACATGTTAGAGGAAAAATCAAGAATTTGTCAGTTAGTCCTTGCTTCGCCGATTCTGATTCTTTTATGAATGATTGCAATTTACTAAAATCTAAGATTGAGGATGTTCTGAGTATTGAAGAAATCAAAGACTTGATTAGCACTTACTCAAGAAAAAGACCACCAAAAAGGTAACTTCAAGCTGGGCGACTTGATCATTTTTTCACCATGTGTTGTGATTTGATTTTGGTAAGCATTTTGTTTTATTTCTCATTTACATATTGTACTTCAGTAGACAACTGTAAGTTTCATAATGATAAAAGATTGGTATGTCTACCCCTCACCTCTTGCTAAATTGTTCGTATCAATTTATGGAAAACGTACTCGTTGCTTTTATTAGCATGACAACAACTTGTATCAGCTTTTATGTTCTATCTAAACCTGGCTCATTCATTCATCAGTATTGTAAAAGCCTTGCTCAACTATAAGTTATTAGTGTTGAAGAATCAAAATGTCCCTAAGAAGATATTTTATATTGCCACTTTTGTTTAGGTAATCACAAAAAGTAATTAATAAAACTCCCTAAAACAATAACAAAAAAGAATAAAGATCAGAAAACAAGGAAATCAACAGCACCTTTACAGGCACTGGATACATGTACAATGTCTTAAGTAGTAGATGATGGTACTGGTAGCATTATAACATGTATATGGGATCCTACTGGTTGCAAAAAAACATGTATATGGGATAAAAAGCAAGCTGGAACTGCTATGCTATTTTTCCTGGTATATGTAAAATATGTAAGTACTTAGCAAGAAATCTCGTATCTCCAATTCTTTGTATTGTTACAGTAATAGGTTTATGGAGGTTCTTGGAGTTTGGGTACTATTACATTTGGACTTGCACTCTCCAAATTACAACCTATGGCTATTATTATTTTAACTGGGTTGATTTTTAGATTTATTTCTTTTCTTTTAATTAGGTGGTTGTGGTCCTTTCTGTCAGAAGTTTTACAAATTGGACTAAATACTAATAGATAGGTGGATTACAGGGCTGAATCAAGATTTTCTTAATGTTAAACAGAACAACCCATAGGAGAAGATTAGTTTGCATATTAAGGATTATAAGACTGTAGGATTTCAGAAAATAGACAAACTAAATGTTAGCAGTGCATATTAATCAGAACTGAAAGTCTAAAAAAATAATCAGAATAAAATGAGTACATAAGATCAGCCTTGCTAGACATGATGCTCGGAATATAAAAAGATAGGAAGGAAAAAAATGGTCTTCCTAGAAATTAAGTAAAACTACACATAGAAGAGTTTGCCCTAAATTATAGTTTACTTTATTTTCTATTTTTATTGAAAAGGAATAAGAAGATAGACGGTAAGAGAAAAAGTGATATTAGTTGAAGTGAGGATGGTATAAGTAAAGAAATTTTGAATTCCTTAAATTTGTGACATTGAATTAGTATAAAAGTTCCCTGCTCTAGTTATCACTAGCTCTTTCCTTTACATCATGCTTTAGTCACGGTCACTGTTTGTGAAGACCCTGGGCTTGAAACCTACAATAGTTTGGAAAATCATTTCCAGTGAGATCATGGGCTAAAACGTTCAAGTGTACTTGGAACATAAATTGTGATTTCACTTAACAGGACTTTTCTTTTTTGATATGTTCTTGTACCATCCATATGCACAGCTCAGGTAAAGGACATTTAAAACAAATTGGAAGGGTGTCCATGCATTTTGGTTTTATAGAGTTTGATTCTGTTGAAACAAACCGCTAATATTTCCCGAAATTTACAGGCAATAGCTGCTGATGAGTCGAAGAAGGCGAGAGGTTGGAAGAGTTTACTGATGAACAAACTGGGTTTCAGAATCCATCTGAGTTGTTGAAAAACGAGGAAGAAGTACGTGACCATTTTTGATGAAGAAAGCGGGAGGTTAGTGGTAGATTACAAGGTTTTGCATGGTAGGGACCTGGCAGACGCAGCTGTTGTAGGTAAAAAGAGCAAAAGCATAGATGGAAATTATTACGGGTTAGAATCTTTTTCTAGAAAAATATGAGGAAAAACCATAGAGATTTTTTTTTTTTTTTCTTGGATAGAATTTAGGCCAGGCCAACAAGCTTTGAACATTTATAGAAAACAACATTTTAGGGAAACTATTAGCGAAAAAGAGGATGCCACATGTACTAGGTAAAATTCAATTGGTCACTTGTGAATCTATTAATTAAAAATAAGATGTGCTAGACAACACAATCTATTCTATACGTATAACGATGGATTGTTTTATCATTTCTGATTAGAAATTGGGTGGGGCCCGAACAGATACTGAAATCTTATGACAAAAGATTTCCTAGGACGAACTGAATGAGGAGGGATTTTGCATCGAACCAATGGAAGCAACAACAGTATTTTAAACATAAAAATGAAATTACTCCTCAGTCGTTTTTTAGCCTTTGCAACAATCTTTCTTCTTCATTTTTAACTTTATCCATCATGCCAAACTCTTCAAAACCCTTTGAGAAAAACAAAAACTGTTTAATTTCTTTTTTAAAAGGAATTTTTTATTTTTTTTGTAAATATGATTGAAGGCTTTAAGATCTGTTAAAATAAAACCAGTACCAGAAGCGAAATTACTATCTTCTGTCTTGAACAACAATCAGTACCGGAAGCAGACCCCACACGCTCTCAACTACCCTTTCCCTTCTAATTCTAAACATTGAATGCCACCCATCACCCCATACACAATTATTGTCCATCACCTACCGGGGGACAATCTCTCTTGGCCCCGATTGCTCTACTCGAATACAAGAAGTCAATCCGCAATTTCTGATTCATTACATTTAGATTTATTTTACATCCACAATTAACGATAAAAAGTATTTGACACTTCTTACCGAAAAAGTCAGTCGCGGAGATAGCCAAATCCAAAAATCAACGTCACCTTGATTTTTATTTTTATTTTTTTTAAATCTTTATCCGCTTAATAACCAACCATAGGCCTAGGCCACCCACCGTCAATGACCAAGGGGGGCCAAATGATGTATGACTCATATTGAACATGATTTGGCGAATACGGATAAAAGCAGCGAAGAAGGAATATTTACATCTTAAGAAATCCACTTCCCCGAGTCAGCAAATACATTTCACCCAAAAGCCACAAGGATTCCTTAAAGGTCTAGTCGCCAGTTTACACATATCTACATTACTACACTACCAAAAACTAAAACCTCTATATAACCTTAAAAGTAAATACTACCCCCTACTAACATACACGATAAAAACATAAACAAGCCACCCATAAATATGCTACGAGGTGTCAACTACTAAAGGAAGGGGACACTTGGATTGGGTACCAGTCAACGTGACACTCGCATATCTTGTTAGCAACTTATCATTGAGAACCATACTCAATGCTTTCTCCGTTCTCTTCTTCTCAAGGTCATTTGCAGACGGTCTTCAGTCTTTTCGCGGCCTGAACAAACCCCACAATGACCTGCAACTCGTCCATTTGCTGCCAAGAAATACACACACATAAGTCAACTAATCCATTATGTTCTGCTTTAATACAAAACAGCAGATGCTTCAATAGAAGGAGGCTCATCACAGTTGTCCATGGAGGGATGAACCTTTCCTTTCTCATACTTCTCCAAGAATTTTTTCATCTCATAATTTTTATCCCCAACTTATCTGTGCTTATAGTCTCAACCTATAGCGACTAAAAACCTACTAAACTTGACAAAAACATTGAAATGTTGGATAACCAACACGAAAAGTACCTGAGACATGAAATGCCTCTGAACAACATCAACTAGTTGCTCCTTTGATGGATTGGGAATGGCATCCACCTAACAAAATACATGGCATTACTGTATCAAAGAACTAAGCTAATAAGGAGTCTGTAAATTTGTGTTCTATTATATTCATGAACTCACAAGATTGAAGTGTCGCCAATATCTCCATAGTGCAGACATCTCCAGTTTGCTGAGGTCAACCTTCTAGAGTGAAGATATTTATACCAATACAAAACAGATACTAATTAATAATTCATCACTACATTTCTTTGTATATTTATTAAGTAATATGAACCCAACCAACAGAGCACAAAGCAAATAACAAATATTGAAATTTCATACCGTGGTCCCACCACGGGGGGTGGAAACAGAACCCTTGGACTGTGAGTCACACGAAAGAGACCTGCTCATAGTCTTGTGAGATGATCCTGTTGATTTATGTGTCTTATGCCTTGATTTATGGGACTTTTGAGTGTCATCAGATGCTGAAAAAGATAAACAAGCACAGGTAAAAAAGTATGGTGGGGCCAATAAAAAGATAAAGGAATGAGACACTAGAGCTTTTAACAATAGTGAAAGTTAAAGCTGAAGACACAATGGATCCTATGTAGCAACTGCAACCACTTTTCTCTAGCAAGCACATCATTGAAAAACCACAACTTCATGGAATTACGGGTCCAGGTAAACAGTTAATTACATTATGAGTAGATTAGGACACTGCTGTTTCACTGCCAGGATGAGCATTCTATCCACAATAGTCATTAATAATCTAGTCAACTAGCAAAATTAGTTGCTGATTCCACTCATGTAACTAGATTTTGATAAAATGACAACAAATGAAGGCACAAAAAAAATGCCAAACTCACCCATATCTGATCCATTCCAGTGCATGTTCTCAAACTCAAGTTCATCATCTTCTTCATTGCCAGTAGGAGCTTCAATCACACTAAGGGCATTCCGCTGCAACTTTACTTCTATCCCATTCGTAAGAACCTGAGATTTCAATCATTGCAGGATTTTTTTTATATAAGAAATTATCAGATCGCAAATTGGTAGAACTGATTAAATCATCTTGGAATTAATGCAAACACCAAAGAAAAATTCAATATGGACTATTAAATTATCTTGATTTGAAACATGTTTTTTAGAATCCCTGAAATTATGCAAGCTAAACCTTATTTGTAGTTAGCTTGGACTAGAATGTGTAATCCGTAGACTGATCAACCCACAACCAAATCAATATATATATATATACAAGGAATTCTGAAAACTGATACATGTCAATTCCTCAATTTTTTGAAATAATATTACATTTAATATGATAATATGTATAATAATTATCTACTTATCTTTAGAATATAAAAATAATTTTGAACCTATTAAAACAAACTAATGTAATAAATATAAGTAATAGTTATCTATTTTCCTAAAGTGATAATTGTTATAATATATAGTTAATTAGCTACAAAATCTAAAATCATACACTATAAACTATTGATCACATTTTTTTCCTCACATCTTATTCATCTTTCGCCAAAAACTAAGGTGTGATAAATTTTTATATTTTTATTAGAAATTTCTTTACTTCTGTATAATTTTGTTAATGTAAAATAGTATTCATTTATATTCTATACAACTATAAAAATTATATTCTTTGTATAGCATCGGGCAATCATCTAGTTTACAAGAAAAAAGAAAACAAGAAGGAAAAGCATAATTTATCCACCACTATCTGAAAATAAGGAGGAGAAGCACTAGAAAATCTATAAAAACAAAAACAATCATAAGCCTACAGCATACAAAGTAAGAAGAAATAGGCTAAAAGAGAACCGGCATATGTAATGCGGCCACAAAACATAAAGATAATTAATTAAAAAAGCTGGCTTCCATTTTCGATGCAGTGCGTAGTGGGATGTATATACAAACATATATGTAACTACATATATATATATATATACTGACTCTGAGCACAGATTATGATATGAATTGAATTCTATAAAATAAGGCAAAGACAAAAATCCAATTAAATGTAGCAAGAAAAGAGCCATAATATCATGGAGATGTTGTTTTACTGAGCATAGAATGAGGAAAACCAGGTCTTTAAATGATTAGAAAATGAATATCAGTTTGGAAGACCACGTTCAAGAAGAAACTGACAAGAGGTTTTCTTTTCCCAGATCATGCAAAGCTTTGTTTCAGTGTTGTTGATATATATTTACAATCATGTAGATGTTAGAAAACAATATTAAAAATAAGAGAAATCTAAACGCGGTTGTAATCCTCCAAAATTAATAGAATACTAATCATCTACCAAAATATCATAACGAATCTAGGCAATGAATATCTTAATCATTAATTTCAAAGACACTGCAGATTACTGAAACGAAATCATATAAACAGATCAATAGATATCGCAAATTACTATCCCACATTATGAAACACCAGATCCACTAATGCAACTGAACATGCAACCAAGAACAACGAAAGATGCAAATAAAAACCATTTTATATACCACAAAATTATGATCCAAAACCAATAAATAAGCGTATAAATTCTGGAATTTCGCATAAAGAAGCCAGTGCATGCAAATGAATCCAAAAAAAATGTTGAAATTCAATTACGTAATTATCCCCAAAACATCCAACTTAATCTTTTCAATGAACAGGGGATTGTTAGCAATAAAAAACGAGAAAAGGATAAATTAAAAAATTACAACATAAAAATACAAACAGAAACCCAAAACCATCAAATTGATCCACATTGCCTAAAATAGGATGTATCTGAACAATGTAAACCATAAAATTGAAAGTTGAAAATGCAAATAAAAACCACAATTGCAAGCCAAAATTAATCGCAGAGGAGTTAAAAATCAAACTCATTTTCGTAAATCGGGCGATGAATGAAAGCAATTACCAGCCAATGCCAGCCGCCAAGGCCAACAGCTTTCTTGACCACACCTTGAAGACCTACAAGCACTGATTTGGTCCGGTTATTACCTGTCACCACCACTTTGGTATGACGTGGCAGAACCGAAAGTTCCTCTTCGCTGCTTTCACCGCAGCTCTGCAAGTTAGAGAAACCGCCATTGATAGAACTGGCGACAGTCTCGAGCATTTTTTTTCGTATATCAACTCAGTGAGTTGAATCCAGCGAAAGAGAGAGTACTAAACCTCAAAATTGCATTGAATCGCAAGATCCTGGATTGGCGAACATGGATATGTGATTTTCGGAGGCAAAAGGCGGAAAATTCGATAAAAAATTGAGAAATTTTTGCAGAAGAAAAACACAGAGGCAGAGGGGAAAAGCAGACAGGGAGAGAAAGAGAGAGAGAGAGAGATAGTGTGCTTGTAGGGTGAGAGCGACTTGTTTTCGTTTATTACTCGTCTCGCTGTGAATCCCGACGACTCCTATCCCACCAATAAGATCGCGCCACGTGGACAGGTGGAGTGTTATCGTTAATCATGCGCTAGCTTAGGTTGCGGCATGATGCAAATACCACTAGCGGTTTGGATAAAGAGGTTCCGACTTCCGACCTTCGGTTTTACACGTTGTTGACCAGTTGACCGGCAGTAACTAGTAAGTAAAATTACAGTAATACCCCTACTCTTTCGCATTTATTTCAAAATTTTGAAACTGCTGAATTTTGTTCAGTAAAGCAGTAGAGTTATCCGCATCAAATTTTATTTTATTTTATTTTTAATTTTTTTTTTAATATTACTTTCTCAAAAAAAAAAAATATGGGAACGTAAGGGAAACGCGAAAGTCATTTAGGTGGGGGCCCAGTTGTGGGGCGGGGGAGGCAGTACCTGCGTCGGTGGTGTCTTATCTAACGTCAAAATATACTTTCACCTATATATATATATATATTACATACTTTCGAAAAATAAATATTTTATTTTATTTTATTTTCCCGCCAGACCCAAGCGATATTAACCGTCCATTGGGGATGATGGTTCCGGATCCGTCGGATTCGTTTCGGCGCTCGCTCAACCGTTGGATCGGGAAGTGAAGTCAGGAAAATAAAGCAGACAACATGTGTAAATTGTAATGATACAAGAATTGAAGATAAGTGGTAGACTTTTCGGACACCTTGGCATCAAGCAAAACGACACACCATTAAAAAAAAATAAAATAAATAAAATAAATAATGTTCTCCGCGAACACCGTGCGGACGGTAGTAGTTCGAACGTACTTGTAGATTTCATCTGGTCCGTCGATTTTCGGATGGTCCCGTTCTGACCCAATCAGAGGGCTACGATTTGATTACGGAGATCAGATTTATAATATAAAATAAATAAATAATTAATTAATTTAAAATTCGCGAAAAGAAAAAAGTTAGGCAGAGTTTTTGACCGGGTGCGCATTGTACACCGCTATCGTATTTGTCTTTATTGGGGGAAACAATCATCTAAATTAATCCCCATTAGTTACTGATGTCTCTTCAACCTATACAGCCTAATCAAGGATTAATTTTTTAATCACTCGATAATCACACTACTAAACTGAAAGTTACTTAACGAGATTAATTATAATTTCTCGTCAGATTTACGCCACTTATTTTTATTAATTAAATTAATTAATAACTATTAATAATCAAACTTTTTTTAATTACATTTAGTTGAGTTTTGTTTTATACGAAATACAAAAATAATATTTGTATTTAAATATTTGAACAAATAAGTTGCAATCAAATCATACTGTTTTTAAATATAAAATTTAATTACACTTTCAAATGGACCGTTTTGGCTGTTTGTTTCTTCCACTAAATGAAAACAAAAAATAAAATCTAAACACCTAAGTCATTTGTAAGCATATTAAGTTTGTTAATTAATGACAGCTTACTTAATTTTTAAGTCAAACTTTCGTCTAAATTTATTATTTTTTATAGTAAAAATTTATACGTTTCATTAATGAAGTAATAACATAATTTCTTAAAATTAATACATGTAATACAATTTCGTCGTAATAAAATGAGACACAGTGATAATATATGCACTAATGATATAAGTAACAATAGTAATTACAAATAATAATAATAAAGACAATATAAATAACAGCAATTGTGATTAGTAACAAAAATAACCGGATAGAGAGTTGCAATAATGATGTATATAGCTGCATTAATAGTAGTAATAATCATTGTTATTAATGATAATGAAGGGGAGAGATGAAGACAATTACAACACACTAAGGGTGGTATTTTGAATAGCGATTAAAGGAGTAATAGTGATAATTAACAAAGATAATAAACTATAAGAATTATAATATTTTATATTTATAAAATTTTATTCGTAAATCAAATAGAGTTAAATAAAAATTATATATTTAAATATATTTTAAATTTATATATTACAAATACAAGTTAGTCAGGTTCAAATTTTAAAGAATATATCTCGAATTCGAACAATTGTTATTCCTACTTTGGTTCGGTGGTTGGCCTCTCATTAACTTTTTTTTTTATTTGATTTTTTATACTATCGAACTCTTCTCTATTATTCGTTTCCATGTCTATTTTCTTTATCTCCATTTGCCCTCTTCGAAATATCTCTTCTTATATATTTATATATATTTTTTAAATTTCATTTATTTTTTGGCATGTACATTTCTTACTTTTTTTTTATTTCAAATTTTCGTTTTTTTGAAAACATTTCCACAACAACTAACTAATTCAGAACGAAACCTATAGTTTTTCACCACATTAAAGAAGATAAAAAGCTAGGAATTGAAAAGTTGCGAAAGATGAATATGATATTATATATTAGGCGAATTAAACAAGCTTTTTTTTTTTTTTTTTTGGTGGGTTCCGAATAACAAATTCTCCAAAGCGTTGATATTTGGTTTTTGCTTTTTGATTTTTCAGCTGAAGCGATCTCGCCTGGTGGGGCCGTTGGTACAGCGGAACGAAGATCATAGACCGGCCATGTGGACCATAGCATGTTGCTAATTATAAATACAGCGCCCACCACCACCAATACCCATTTCAAATTATTGCGCATCTTTCTATTCCAAACTCAATATAACATACAAAACTACGTACGTACATACATACATCTACATGTATACAGTTAAAGAGTGTGAATAGAAATATGTAGATCGTCATAGATCTGGACCCCTCTTACATCAATCATCATGTTCGATTCTCCCTCGGACGGAAACATAAAACGATTTTTAGCTTCAATTGAGCCCATAACACTACGGAGGTCTTTGCCATTTTCATTTTTATGTGATTGGTGCTAGGTTTGAGATACAGTAATATAAATGTACAATAGTTTTCATAAATTCTGTATTAAATTTGAGGGAAAAAGGAGAGTGGGTGGGTTGCAGGAAACTGGGTCTAATTTTTCTAAGCCAAGCCAATAATAGTAAGTAGCATAGCATCTAATTGACAAAGAGTTTAAATGGAGTTGTTGGGTGTCATTACGTAAACTCTGGAAATCTTCGGTGCCTTCCACCTCCAGACACTTACAACCGCTCTTGCCCGTATTATTATCGGGGGAGACCAGATCCCCAAAGGTCAAATAAATAAATGAATGAATGAAGCTCGTTGTACATTCACCATTTTTTTAAAGCTTCTTACGCATAAATTTACAAATCAATTCTACATTCCATTTGGAATTTTATTAATCCTAAACAGTGTAAATTTATCTCCGGTAAAAAAACATAAGAGAGTTTTACATTATGAAACGAAATAATATTACAACAACAGAGCTCGTCATGATATCATGAGAACCCACTTTGCCTAACCTTGCAACTGTAAACCAAGTAACTAGGTTCCTTTCCTATGACATAACATCAGTCTCCTACTCTTGAAGCTCATTAATCTGCTATCAACAAGAAAACATACACAAACTGGACTCTGTCTAAATTACTATACTTCCTGATCTTGTGTTTAAACATTGCATTGCAACGATATTTCTTATTCTACTCCCTAAGACAACTTAATTTTGTGCATTGTGCGTGAATTATAATTATATGTTACACACCCTAACAGTATTATACTAGAGGATCTAAAATGGCATAAAGCAGAGGTACTTCTTCTTGAGCTTTTTCATTCTGCCAGCAGCAGATTTCCTTTCCCCACATGGAGCTACAATGGGGCTATCCCAAGATTCAGACACATTATGAGAGTTTGATGATGGACCTTCACCAACGTACTTTGATTTCAAACCTCCCTGTCTGTCATCCAGATGTATACTATCTCCTTCTCCAGGCACAAAGCAATCAGCCTTCATCATCTCTTTGACAGGAGATTTGGTTCTTCCAATATCAATAACATTTCCTGCTGATAATTGGAAATTAAGAGAGTTACCCCATGCATAGAAGCAATTTCGTACGAGAAAATAATTACAAGATAAACTTATTTTAGCTGAGAGCACATTAAAGCGTGTGTAACGATGGTTCGTGGACTTATATATTGAGGATAGAATCTGAATGTTGATGGATCCTCCCAAAACACGATGAATTATTTAACTGTACGATAATACAGAAATGAAATTGATTTGCAAAAGATATTTTTCCTATTATTTAAGTTTCCTGTTTACCTTTAGCAAGGACATATCAAAGGTATAAACACCACCGTTATGTAACACAGTCAGCAAAGATACTACCATATCCTCCTCTCAGAAAAGATACTATTATCTCCCATCCTTTTCCTAATCTTCTGGATAACAAACACAAAATAAGGTAAAACTATTTAATCTTATCCTCTTAGGAATCTTATCACTATCATTTTTCCTCTATTTAGTTCCACGTGCAATGAGATAAATACTTCTAGAACGAAATAGCATTTAGACAAGAACAAACAGGACCAATTATCAGAAGCTGATTTCAGTTCAATAGATCCAACAATTCAGTCCTATCAGAATATGTGGGCAAGCGAAGGTGCCATTCACCCTAAAACATGGCCTCTTATCCGCCAGCCTAAGTTAATGAATAGACTGGTAATAGACATCCTCCAGCTAAAATAGTATTTAGATTGTAAATAATTGATGGAAGCTTAAACTAATACTGAAGAGTCTGATTTATTATTTCTATTCTAACCTACCCTTTTACACATAAACGTGCTATGCTGAAAGTAAGGTCAATTACAAACCCCTAATCTCGTGCTAAGATTTGACAGTATTTTAAAAAAGTTCGCTTTTAACTTAAGATATAATTACAAACTACTCTCCTATTTTTCTTTATTTTGTTACAAAACTATCCATTACGTTAGTAATCTGTTGCCTAACCATTAAAAAGCTTTATAGTTTCATAATATTGTCAGATGACTTTTGCATTACACCAGTGCCAAATGATTGTCAGGTACACAGTCAAAATTTTAAAGATAGGGGTAAGAAAACGCTAAGGTAGAGACTAATTTTTGTGACAACAATAAAATAAGAGAGGATTTTAGTTATTATGTGTAATTTAAAAGAATAACTAATGGACGACCATCCCAAGCATCAAAGACTCAAGACACTAATAGGTGCAAGAGTAAAGGTTAATGCTATTCGTTCTTTAGTTGCACCTTTTCGTTTTCTTTTTATTTTCTTTCTTTTTGAAAGATGAGGAGATATCTTATTAGTGGAAGAATGATATAACACCTAATTTCGTATTAGTCCTTTAAGTGCCGTGGTTCGAATGACCAAAAGGAGGTAGCAACCACAAGCTACCAAGTTGTGCTCTCTATTGAGTCTAGAGACGGTGGAAAAAGAAGGTTGCGACCATAAGTTGCCAACAATCCCATCTCGAGTGTTCAACTTGTTTAGTTGCTAAGATTGCTATCGGCTCTTTTGACCTTCTTTCTTTCTATCTCGTATAGAAAGATATTGGACATCATGACGATGAAAATGGTTAATGGAATGGAACTGAAACATTTCTTTCTCTAAATTCTGGTTTCTCTACCCTCCTTCAACCTTTTTTCATTTCCTTCTTCCTCTTTTCCGTCTCCCTTTTCCCACCTTTCTCTTCTGGTATTTAGTCTCTTCTCGTGCTACCTTAAACTTTGCTAAAAATAGAGTGATCTGTCAATTATTTATGAGCTGTTGTGAAAGCATCAAAGTGTGTCATACATCAACAATTCTGTGACTTACCCGAAATTTAATTAACAAAAACAAGGCGGTAATTAGGAATCAAACCCTTGTTCTCAGCCTTAATATCATGTGAAGTGAACAATTAATTGGTAACCAATTATTTCAAAAACATAAGCTAATAGAAATTGATCTATTATTATATATTTTAATATAGATAATGGGTGCTATCATCAGATTTTTGTTCTTGCCTCTACCAGAAACCTTAACTTAGTTTTGAGCAGTGCCAAACTTGACTTCACTTGGCACATAGTACAATATAGTTTCTTCATATTGGATTTTTTATGTGCTCTTTCAATATATGTTACAATCTAGTGCCTATGTCTCCGAGATATCAAGAAACTAATTATGAGAAATTCAATTCAGGTTGCTTTTTTCTTTTGCATTACAATCAGAAACTTATAGACTAAAAATGCAGGATGATTTTTGACATATATATAGTAAGAGAGGCTCAAAGGTTTCAAGGAATCACAATCAGCCAGAGAGTTTTTCCTCAAACAAGATCTGTTGGATACTAGAAAAATCGAATTATTTGCATAAAAATTCAACTCAATAAACAGAAAAACAAGTACTTTAGTCATACATCAAAAGGTACCCTCATAAACAACACTCAGAATGTATGTTGAGAGCAAACATATTTTCATCAGCTTTGCTTAAATGAAAGATGGCTAAAGTTCAATTCACAAGTTTGCTTTGAATAATTACAGTTCCAATAGCAAGCACCTCAAATTTCCTTCAGGTAAAAATGCACAAGCAAGAAAAAGAATGGAAGCAATGAAAAGGAGCAACACACATAAATACAACCAATGTGAAGCACAGGCCGAAGGAAACAATGAAAAGAGAGAGTAAAATGGGAAATCTACATACCTGAAATGGCCGGAACAGTTACAACAACCTCAGTTAATCTGCGGGCTTCACTGATGTTGAATTTGTAATTTGCATCCCTCTTTTCTATGTCTGCACTATTTTCAGACCTAAGCTCTTGCAACAAAGCCAATGGATCAAAATATTCGTCTGATGACAAGGAAAAGCGACTTGAATTTTCTGAACTGGAAGACGATGATGCTGGGTTATCAAGATCCAGCAACTCCAAGTAATCACCTCTAAAGCATAATCAAGTTCAGGCAGGTTTTCAGCACTATAATTTGTAAGTTTCCTTGAAACAGGTGATTCTTCTACCTTGTCACCCTTCTGCACCTACAAAACATGGCCAGACCTCAACATACAAACAGAACGCCTTCCCCCACGAAACTAACATGACATAAGATATCTCAACTCCAATAACCAACAGATGCAATGTTTTGTTTAAGGGCATCAGTTGGTCTCTTCTTATCATTATACAAGAATATTCCCCTTCATGCTAACATTTTACTTGACAAATATTATCTGTGATAGATCCATTCAACCTGAGAATTGCTAGCTGAAACAAGAAATATAGAAATGCTATGAATTTGTGGATGATTCTTAGTACTAAAATCTAGCTTACCTGATAAATCATGATTAAAATGCCTTACACTATTTTTAGCATTTAGAAATTATCCTGATAATTTGACAGAGCTGCAAGGTTTGCCGTTTTAACAGGAGTCAGATGAAGGTTCTGTGTTATGTGACTTGAGCAAATTAAAATGAAATGAAAAATTCACTAGGAATAATAGCTGGTCTTTAATAAAGTCAGTAACTGGTTTCAAATTTATTGTATGAATAAAAAAATTACAATAAGCTAATCAACATGTAAAATCCAACCCAAGCAACAAGGTAAGACACAACAGTGAGGAAGTAGCCTTACCAGGAGATTGCTGGAAGAACCTTTTCCAGAGTTGTTATCAGCTATTGGAACAATTAGTTGCTTTGTATGATCATGGAATTCAGTCCCAATATCAGGACCAGACTTCTTCTCTTGCTTGTCCAGGTAACAATTTTGTACACCATCAAGAAAAATTCGGCACAATATGCCTGCTTCCTGCATATTCTCCAACCAGACCGCTTGGTGACTGGTAGGTTGGTTTTTGAATAGAGATAAAAAGTAAAATTTCAGTGAATATGCATGTAGCTTTGGTGATTCTGTGGAGTACCTTGGTCTCGCTGTCTTCAGATGGTCTCTTCTGAGTTATAGTAAACTCTTGCATTATCCAGCTACTCTTGTGCTCATCTGGCACCTGACCTTCATGGAATTCAAGTGTGCTCCTCCAACCAATAATGGAAGTATCTGAAAATATTTCACAGGCCTCCTCTTTGGCCTTCCAGATACCATATTCTGTACCAATGTTCTCCTTGGAGTATAAAAAGTACCAAACACCAGCTACACACTCCCAACGTTAAAGAAAACTTAGTAAGTTCAATCTCAATCTTACATGCTACCATCTGTTATACTGTTCTTATGAAGTACCTAAATGAAATTCACCATTCTTGAAGTAAAGCATTCCAATCGCACAAAAGGTCACTTGACACAATTGCGCTTAACATTAAGGACTGTGATATTAACACAAACAAAAATCACAATTCTTCATCCACAAAAGGATTCAGTGAGGTTGGCTCCTAAAACATTTAAATTTCTATAGGAGTTCCAGTGGTCAAAATAAACTGAGAAACGCAAAATACATGAATAGCGTTATACTTCGATCTAACAAATACTGTAATGAACTTGTTCTGCTTTAAGCAGGAATTCAATAATCCTTCTACTATATGTTTTTAACCCGTATGCCATTAAGCACAAAGGCGTCTATAAAATAACATAATATGCCGATTAAAAAGAAGTTTGACAGGTCCACATATCCTTTGGCTTTCTTTAGCATATTAAAACATTAGTTCCATTTTCAAAATTTATATATTTGCATGTAAAATTATATGGAATTGTTCAAAATTAAACCATGTCTGGACAATGCTATGAAAATATGGCATAAGTCTAAAAATAACTATTTGTTCTGTTCAAACTTATGCCACACTTTTACTTTCATTTTCCAGACTGTTTTTATTTTCAACAAGCACACATGTATTTGTGATTTGAAGATGGAATTAAAGTACCTGTGTGGGGAATCAACCGCTAGCCACACAGTTCCCATGCCTATTCAATCTGTGTCCCTTAGACATAATGCCCCTGTCTTACAATCTATTTTGAATAATGAAGACGGTATTACCTGGAACTTCCGCTTCAGCCATAAACTTTTTGATAGGGAGGCTTCTGACATGGCAAACCTTCTAAGTCTCTTGGAATCTATTCAATTTAGCAACTAATCAGAAAAGGATATGGACCTTGGAACCTTTGAGAACATTTACTTGCAAGTCTTTTTTCAAACATCTCATTTCCAAACCTAACGATAACCCAATATATAAGGCCAACAAGTTCCGGAAATCTCCTATTCCTTTCAAAGTCAAGGTGTTCGCTTGGACCGGTATTCTTTGGAGGATAAACACTAATAAGATGCTGTAAGTATGCCAACTTAATCGTGCCTTGTCTCCAGATATTCATGTGATGCGTCTTGCAGGAGGAGAGATGCATCATATTTGTTCCTGCACTGCAATACGCCTTGGAGGTTCTGTGCAAAATTAGTAAAGGCTTTTGGTTTAAGTTGGGTGACCCTCCCAATGGTAGAGGTGTTCATGGATCTTTTTTTTTTGGGAGGGGCTACAAGCACAGGCTAAGCCACTTTGAAGAGGTGCATTCTTTGCTGACCTATGGAGCATTTGGCTTGCAAGGAATCGTCGGATCTTTAACGAACAGACCAACCCTTTCCATGAGCCATGGGAAAAAGCCACTTTTTATGTTACATTGTGGGTTAAGGTCTATGGGCATTATTCTACTATTAGCATCTCTAATCTGCATCATAACCGGAAATTTTTATTTCCAGGAGCTTGGTTTTGTTATTTTTGTATTTGTTATTTTTTTCTAGCTTGCGGAGGATGCCTTATTCTCCTTGAATGTATTCTTTTTTCCCTTCTATATTAATAATACTTATTTTTCTACTAAAGAAAAAGGAAGTAAAGATATATCATTAAGTTTACAACATTTTTATACATGAAAACATGTGTGGTTCTTGAAATTAAAAAGAAAATAATAAAAATATGGCATAAGTTTGAAGATAATAAATAGTTGTTTCGTATGATATTCCCCATGCACTGCACAATTCTATTTCTGCGTGACAGAAACCCTTCCACCACTTATTCTTGGATCTTTGGTAAAATGACAACCAGATTGTCCATGAAGATTTTCAAACATCTCCTATTCAAATTACATTAAGGAGAGTTGTGACCGAGGAATATGAACATTAAAGAGAGAGCTCATTTCTAGATACATTTTGAACCCAGTAAAGGCAGCCTAATCAATTTCAGTTTTGTTTTAGAAAAATAAATACCAATGGACTATTCAGAAATTGATGGAAATTAAGAAAGAAGCAATGAAAATTTAAATCATCATCAAGTTTTTCTGGTGATTCAATAAATAGAAAAAGGATAATGAACTTACCAGGTAAATTGGAGGGCGCATATTTGTAAGGATTTATATCTGTAACAACATTGCTTGGTGGAGATGTTCCACTCGCCATTCTTGTGAATAACCCAAAGAGCTCCGCCAAAGTACAGTCAAAATCAATCTCAGTCGTGGAAGCAGCTGGAGCAAACATTGCACTCGGATAAAATCCCTCTACTTTTGTGAGAAAGGGCTGTTGAAACAGTAAGAAACAGAGAAGTAAACCAAATAACAGTATTATGTTAACTTTTCAACCATCAAATGATGTAAATGAAGCATAAAAGCCATGGAGGTGAAGGGATTATGTTAGTTTCCTTATTACTAATCAGACATTGTTTGCTTAACTGAGGAATGTTAATCAGACCAAAAAGAGATAAGAGGTAGAGAAGAGAACGAAAAGTTGAAATCATGGGTTTCCTTTCAAGGTTTGAAGCAAATAGTTTCATTTTCCCTTAGTTCAATTCCAATTTGCCAAACTATTTAGCGCTGCCGTACAGTTTACCTTAATTCACATTTACCCTAATTCACATTTAGATGAGAGGAGAGAATTCGTATGCTTAAACCACGAAGATATCAGAAGTTGTTAGATCTTAGAAGAGAACATTCGAACTCCTATAAAGGCATAATAATTTACAAGAAGAGTAATAAACGACCATGCAAAGGATGGAGAGTCCCATACCAGTTATCTGTTCCAGCGGGAGGATCCTCAATTATGAGTTGCTTGACTCCAGTGAATTATGAGTTGGTAGACTCCAGGGAGATCCGAGAGTGCTGCAAACGATCGGAATGATATCAGATATGAATCGGTTTCGTTGTTAACCAACATGACCATAGAAATAAAAATTTACATAGTCTAGTCTATATTACAAGCTCTGTCGCAAAATAAAAAATAGAAGGAAGAAAGTGTCAATTTGATCAGAAACTAACACCAGGACCAAACATTCCGTTTATTTCTAAAAAATCAAGATACAGAACAAAAAACTCAAGCGTTCACATTACAACAAGGAGAGGACCAAGAGGGCAGCAGCTGAAATCTCGACTATCAAGAAATGAGGTTTTGTTAAACTAGGAACCATCATAAGACAGAAAACAAAAACAAATAGGTCCATTTTTCTTGATTCCACTCCATTTTTTCGGGTAAACCAAGCAGACCATCATTTGTTTCTGTGTTGACGAAATAACTAAGCTAGCTAAAATGCAAAAATGGAGAGGAAAATGATCAGTAATTAGAGTGAAGATAGATTGCTACACCGAAGGAACTAAGCGAGGGAAAAATGCTGGTAGCTGTCTGATCTCGAAGAAGGAGACTTGATCGAGACTCTGGTTGCTTAATCAGTAAACAAAGTGAACGGGGGAGATGAGAAAGTGGCGAGTATTTATAGGCGTAGAAGGCGGAGTCAAGAGAAACTAACCGTGGTTATCTTCCTAGGCGTTTGTATTTGTCACTTATTTCGTATCGTGCGAGAAATATCGTCATTGACTTACATCATCCAATTAAGTTGTTTCTGTGCCTTCGTTGAATTTCTCTGCAAAAACTCACGGTAATTTAATTAAATAAAATAATAATTTTAAAATTAAAAAAAAAATATTTAAAAGCATTAATTTCATGTGATATAATTAAAAATAATTTACTAATTTAATTTAGTTAAGTCACCTAATACTAATGTGATATAATCGGTAAATAAAAAAATAAAAAAAAAAGAATTTATATAATTACCCAAAACTAGAAACGTAAGTGGATGATGTTCTATAACCAATGAAAACAAACATTCGTATTGGTTGACCATTGTCCACCTTAATATTTATATATATATATATATATATATATTATGTGGCACTCGTATTTATCTCTGCTGCTTTATTTTTCTTCTGGTTTTGTTTTTTGTCAACATCGTGCAATTTCCACATTTTCTTTTCATATTGTATTGTAATTATATACTAATGTCGAAATTAATGAAATTTATTGAATAAAAATTAAATTCTAACTATTTTTAATTATTTTAAATATAGTTAAAATTTTTCTTATCTTTTTTAAATTATAAAGTCAAGCTATTAATAAAATAATAATTTTTTCATGTATTATTATTAATTTTTTTATTTAATTACTTTTTGCTTTTGCGCAGTTCCAAAGAGCAGTTGGTTACTGGAAAAGTTGGGAGAATAAACTCGGTGGTAATGGAGACGAGTGATCAGCTATCAACGTTCTTAGAAACTGGTATTTATCGATTGGATTCAGACGCGGTCTTTATGGACTCGGTTCGCGTGCTAAATCGATCCTATACTCGTTTTAGGGTTTTTCCTTCTGCATACTACTCTCGCTTCTTCGAGACCAAACGCATTGATCAAGAAACGACGTCCTTATCTGATTCAAGGAAGCGAAAAAGGAGGCAGAGAAATCTTCTTCTACTCAATGAAAGAGAGCAGGCCGCTGATCGACGCCACCAGGCAATGCAGTAGCCACTAATTCCTCACTTTAGATTAATTCATGATTTGAAAATGCTCTTTAAAGTTTGAAATCAACAAGAAGGGAAATAAGCTGGTTATCTTGGTTCTTTTCTGTTGCAGGAATCGAGGCCTTTGTTACTGAGGGCTCATGAATCTTTGTTACGAGCTGCTGGTCTTTTAATGGCTATTAGGAGTTTAAGGGGCGAATTTTTTTCCTCAACAAAGAGGGATGTCGATTTTGAACATTCTTTTATTGAACTTGGAAGAGAGTGGCAAGCACCTCTCTATGAGATAATTCTCAATTACAGCCAACATGAGAAGCCAAACGATGATGGAGGTTCGTCTCGTGACTCCATTAGTTATGTTTACTTGTTAAGCCTGTAAATGAAGATTTTGAGTTAGGGATTCCTTATGTTAGATTTTTTTTTTTTTTGATGAAAGATTGTTGATTTTTTTATCAGGTTCCTTGATTAATCCATGTCATGAACAGATTGTGGTTCCTGTATTCAATAACCTAGTTGTTAATGAGACAGGCGATGATATGGAAGCTGAGTTTCTAAACAGGCAGTATATAATACCTAGAGAAAGTTACTTCTACATGGTAAATTTTTAATGCTTTTTTAAATATTCTGACATAAAACGCTTTAATTTGTGTTATATTTAGTTTTAGCTTTAGTTTTGTTTGATTATCCAATACTTAAATCTGTTTCTAGTGTGCCTCACCATTTTTTCTTCTCTCTATATTCTGCTTTCTTATCATGCGGAAGTCTGATCTGCAGCAGATTCACAACCTTATTCCTGGTAATTATGGCGTGTCAAACTAAAGTTATATTTTGAGTCCTTCCAGTTCCAGCAAGTTTTCTTGCCTGTTGAGAAGTACTAGTCCTCTTTGTGCTGTTGATTGATACCTGCCATTAAGATGCATGCAATAGAAGTTACTTATAAAGTTGGATCTATTATGACGATGTGTCCCCTTGAGGTCATAAAAAAGGGGTCTATTTAAATAATTTCTTGGTTATTTAGGTTCAAGAAAACCACCCTGAATGGTAAATTAAATTCTTTTACTAGATCAATATTATAGCAAGCCTGGTGTCTTGACCTTTCTAATTGGACTTTGCTGCAAACTAGAATTTCATCAGCTGCTAAAGAAGTACTTGCTAGTGTATTGGGATGCTGATTAGTATTGCTCTTCAAATTGTGAGATACTTTACCCGTTCTTATATGCAGCTTCACCTGTTCAAGGATTTAATCTCATAGTCATTGATCCGCCATGGGAAAATGGAAGCGCTCGTCAGAAAGTAAAGTATGTAATCACATGCCTTCCAAACCACGCTCTTACTTTTATTGATTACGAGGAATTTACTGCAAAATAAGTCTTTGTGTGTAGTGTGTGCCCAACTGAAGCATGAAGCTGGTCTCATATATACAGAATATTGTATTTTGATTTTGAATGCTAATCACCCCAAGCATTATTCTCAAGATGTATTTTAATAATGTTAATTGGACAAGGCCCAGAATATGATTGCAATCCATGTCTGTATATGTGGGACATACACTTGATGTAGAAACCCCTATAGAGATAAATGCACTTTTAGACAGATTTTAAACTGGCAGCTGTCATCTTTCACTAGTATCTTGTTACTGTAAATTCTGTTAGGAAATGTTATGAATATTGTTTTCAGAATAGTAACCTTAATGAGTATTTCTTTTCATCAAAGGTATCCTACTTTGCCAAACCGTTACTTCTTATCCCTTCCTATTAAGAAACTTACTCATCAGGAGGGAGCACTTGTGGCCTTATGGGTGACGAATCGGGAGAAGTTGCGTAGTTTTGTTGAGAAAGAACTATTTCCAGCATGGGGAGTCAGTACTGTAGCTACTTTCTACTGGTTAAAGGTGACCTCCCTTTCACTTCTCTCTTCCTCTTGCTGGCTCAGCTTCTTTGCATGTGTCTTTGTGTATGTGGTTTGTGCGGGTTTATTACCAGTGCCAATTTGAAAGCTTTTCACGCCCAGTGTTGAGGTTGCAATTTTTTTGCAGGTGAAAGCAGATGGTTCACTGATTAGTGATCTAGACCTCTTTCATCATAGGCCTTATGAATGTCTTCTTTTAGGCTACTGTCGTGGACAGGTGAGCCAATGGTTTTTCAGTGTACCTAGCTTCAATATTCACTGCCTTTTTCTCGAACTTCTTATACAGTTGCTTCTTGTTATCTTGTTGTCCATCTTGTAGATTGCAGATTCCAAACATCTGGCAGGATTCAAACCTGTGAAAGATAATCTAGTAATTGTAAGCGTCCCAGGAGACTATTCAAGGAAGCCCCCTCTCGGAGGTACTATCATACTACAGAAAATTTAATTTTCAATTTTTATGCACACATAAAATGAACTAAAGGAGTTCTTTTTCTCCTATATTAAGTAAAACTGTTTATTTTCTTCCTTAGAATTTTAAAGCAACTTTGGATGACTGAATTTTGCAAAGCTATTGACTCGTTAGATAGTATTTGCTAGTTGCTAATTTGGTGCTTCAATTATCTTTTTGGCTGCGAGATGTATAGAGTTGCTGCTGGAATATGTTCCGGGACCTAAACCTGCCCGATGCATCGAGCTGTTTGCTAGAGAAATCATGGCTGGGTGGACGTCTTGGGGCAACGAACCTCTCCGCTTTCAGGACTCGAGATACTTTTTGACAAAGTAGACGGAGGAGTTTTCCTGACCAATTCCCTAGCAGATCATAAATTTCTAGTATTTCTATTTAAATTTTCATATTGCTTATAAGAAGCTGCTCTGGCATTCCCTGAAATCTGGTTTTGATTGGGTGGAGAGATCAGGATTCAAAGCACACTATAACCGTGGAACTCCGGCAGACTGCCTATAGATCCCTTGTTAAAAAAGCCCAATTCTGCATTTATCCGTAGGTAATCTGACAAATTCCAAATGGAGTATGCTTGAAAGTGATTTTATTGGTCAACTTGTGGAGAGATGAGTCTTGGGTGGAATCGTGCTGAAGCCGTAATCAGTAGCTAAAAAGATGAAGCATGAGTGTGTTTTCACGTAATTCCATGAATATGATGATTAAGGGATATTCTGCTCTTGGAAGTGGCATAAATAGGATGCACAATTGAAGGCAATCATAATAAACGTTAGGTATTTAATTGCTCAAATTAAAAACCTAAACAATAAATTGAACAAAATAAAAGAAAAAATTAAGTAATTATTCACTGAAAATAAATGTTAGAACACTGAATTAAATGAGTTCAAAAAAAAATTTAACACCTTAAATTCTCTCTCTGAAAAAGCAGAGAGGAAGAATTAATGCGTGTGTTGAAACGAAAAAGGAGTAGAAACTGCTGATAAAAAGCCCATCCGATGTGATGGTGTATACAACCATGTGTCATGTGTCCCACCTCCAACGGCTTGGCCCTACCTTATATTATTGGGGTCATGACAAGAAAGGTACTTGATCATACACGCGGCAGTGCTCGCTTCTCTTTAACTCACAACACCAACGTGCTAGCCTGCGCGCGGCCACACGCCATCACCTGCTTCAAACCCATCATCATCAGCATCTCTATCCGCTTCCCCCATATCATCAAGCGGCTGCGGCGGGCCCTACCCCAATCACCCCATCCCTCTCTCTCTTTCCTTTTCCCCTGTACCTTGACACACCTTATCACTTCTTATCTTCTTCTATTATTTTTTTAACCCCTACGTAGCAAGGGAGATTCTTCTTCGCTTCCAGCGAAGGAAAGCGTATTCCTCGTGACCACTACCCGCCTACTCTCCCCTCCTTCCCTCTTCTTTTCCCTGGGCTTAAATCGCTTCCGAAGCAGCTCCTACCTATTCCATTCCTCCGTACCCCGCCGCGATTCTTTTGATTCTGCTTGAGCTGTGCTTGCTAATAATGACATCCGACGGTGCAACCTCCACGTCGGCGGCGCCTCCCAGGAGGAAGCCGTCCTGGAGGGAGAGAGAGAACAATAGGAGGAGGGAGAGGAGGAGGAGAGCCATAGCCGCCAAGATATACGCTGGCCTTAGAGCTCAAGGTAATTATAATTTGCCTAAGCACTGCGATAACAACGAGGTCTTGAAGGCTCTATGTTCCGAGGCTGGTTGGATCGTTGAAGAAGATGGTACTACCTACCGCATGGTAAACTTTCTTTCTTGCTATTTTGCCATAGATCTGAACTATCTGCTTTCAATTTATGCTTTTAACTGAGGAAATCTCAAATTTTACTACCGGGATCGTATGAGTTTATTGCCTTGGATCCGGTTCATTTTTTATTTTTATATTCACTTCCTAAAACGCCAAATGTTGATCTGATTGCGTCGGACAACGAATCTAATTTTCTTTTCCACTTCAATCTTGCGTGATTCATGAAATTTCTTCGTGATGCGCGATTGGGAAAACCAGATAATTGATTCATTTGTCATCTGAGGTTTTTGTAAAACACTGATATGTAGTAAAATGGACCACTGAATTCATTGAAGTTAGCTCCATTAAGTAGCTGAAAGAGTTCTGCAAAACATTCCTTTTCCTAATTAGCTTGTGATGGTTGATTGGAAATTTCTAAAAAACTTGTGTTTGTTTAGTTTAGTTCTGTTGTTTGTTAGTTTCTGATAATAGTTATCATATTTGGTTCTGATTGCGACTGGTGACCAGGGATGCAAGCGACACCCAAATGATATAGCGGGAACTTCCGCTAAAATCACTCCATACTCTTCCCAAAATCCAAGTCCACTCTCCTCATCATTTCCAAGTCCAATTCCTTCCTACCAAGTAAGTCCTTCTTCCTCTTCCTTCCCCAGCCCCACTAGAATCGATCCCAGCACCTCTTCCACAATCCTTCCTTTCCTTCGGAATGCAATTCCTTCATCTCTACCACCTCTTCGAATCTCCAATAGTGCCCCTGTGACTCCACCATTATCCTCCCCAACCTCAAGAAATCCCAAGCCAGTGCCCAACTGGGACTCCATTGCCAAGGAGTCCATGGCCTCCTTCAATTACCCTTTCTATGTGGTGTCTGCCCCAGCTAGCCCAACCCACCGCCAATTTCACACCCCGGCCACCATACCTGAATGTGATGAATCCGATACTTCAACTGTTGATTCTGGTCAATGGATAAGCTTTCAGAAATTTGCCCCTTCTGTCTCTGCGGTGCCTACCTCCCCAACCTTCAATCTTGTGAAACCAGTGGCTCCGCAAATGTCCCCCAATGGTTTGATCAATGAGGCAGGACGGAGTTCGGAGTTCCAGTTTGAGAATGGACAGGTGAAGCCATGGGAAGGGGAGAGGATCCATGAAGTGGGATTAGACGATCTAGAGCTTACCCTTGGAAATGGAAAGGTTCGGAGTTGAGCTGGGAAGACCATTGAGTAGCTTTCCGAAAATGAGTGAACTAATGTTCTCGCAGTTTCGCGATTTATACAGCCAGACTTTGAAGACCAGCCACATTTCCAGCAAGCTTCTCCCTGGGAGTTGCGTATGTTGAACAAAACTTGCTTCTTAGGAGTTATGAAACTGTCATTTCAATTGCCGCTTGTTCATCTTCCCCCCTTTTCTGTTTGTCATGCCTTGCCCTTTTGAAATTGTTTAGGAATTGGGTTGTTTCACAAGCATTGCATGTAGATATCTTGGGCTGGTTATTGTTGTTACAAAGTTTATCTCTACAGTAGTCTTGTTAAAACCTCACAAAATTAAAGTTCTTTCAGGTGTTGTGTACTGTTAATGCTGTATTTTGTTGGGAACCAACTACTCCTATAATTTATTTATTATTTTATTTAAATTATTTTGCTGCTACCATCTTTAACTTTGATTGTTGGGTATCCATTTTTGAAAAGGAGATACAGATCCGCATCTTAATTAACTAAACTGCTAAAATTTGGAATTCTTTCACAATTATTATTAGATAGTGGGATGTAGGATATATTTAGAGAAAAATAATTTTATTTGTGGGAATTTTCTTTTGAAAATCCATACCTAGTTAGTACTTAAGAAAGAACATGCATTCCTTTCCTTTTATTGTTTACCAAAAATCAACATAATCATGGAGTCTTTATTAGTAGAGGATGCCATGAGAGTTTTATCATTTACAATTCCTGCGACTTGCATGCATGAAGGAGAGTAAACCACAGTAGGTCCAACACAACGGAAACCTCTCTGCAGCATATCCTTGCTCAAGTAAGTTGTTGTTACAAGTATGGTCATGTCAGATAACACCATGATTTTTAGTTATTGACGTGGTGTGGTGGTGGTATCTGAAGCAGGTCAAGAGATGATCATTTACAATTCCTGCGACTTGCATGAAGGAGTAAACCACAGTAGGTCCAACACAACGGAAACCTCTCTGCATCATATCCTTGCTTATCTGTTCTGCCTTTGGTGACTTAACTGGTACTTCACGTCCGTATCGGAATCCATTTCTTATTGGCTTCTGCTTTACAAACCTCCAGAAGTAGTTGCTCAACGAGCCAAACTCTTGTTGAACCTGCAAATGCACAATATCCAACCTCCTACTCAAAACTTTTTTAAACAACCCCTTAATACATACGTGACGTCCATATAGGAATTCACCACGACAAACCATATAAATAATATAATACCTTGAACGCCAGTTTTGCGTTCTCCACAATTGCACGAAGCTTTGATTCGGACAGAACCAGGCTCCCGTTTACTTTCATAGAAAGCAGCTGCTTCTCGGAAAATTGTGCGATGGAACACAAATCAAAATTGTGAAAAAGCTCCCTGTTAATGGAACCCAACAACAAATGTTCAACGGACTGTAAATATTAAGCAGTTATCAGAGGTTAATATATCATGTCATGCCTCAAAGTTTCCCTCTTGCTGAGGATTGTAGGCCAGCTTAGCTCTGCTAATGCTTGCGAAAACACAAGTAGTTCGAACAATCTTGTATCGTCATCCCGTACCGGAACTCCCCATTCTTCGTCATGGAAAGAAATATAAAGTGGATCTGAGGTATCAATAGGGAGAAAGAAAAAAAACAACAGGGTTCAGCTTATGTGGGTCGTTTAATGAGGCATCATAAGCAAATGGGACATACATACAATAATAAACAGGTTATATAAAACGAATCATACTTCTCTACTATTTATCCCCAAAGAAGTGTAATACAGAGGGGAGCGAAAATTAAACAGGTTAATCTAGAAATGATACCTCAAATCTCCGTACTTCACAATATAGCCTGACAGATTGAATTAAAGTTGCACGAGAAGTTTCTAAGTGGCTTTTCAAGTTTCGCTAGTCAGCTATCACTTCTCCATGAATGGTAGTAATTGTGTGTTACAATAAAATGTGAAAGTCAAATTTTTTTTTTTTTTTTTTTTTTTAATGTTTCAGTCAAAGTAAAATACTCAAAACAAACACACACCACTTCTACGAAAAAGGAAAAACAGAAACAGAAAATTAAAGAGAGGGAAAAATTAACATAAAATAAGTAACAAAGATTTAAAGCAAAACCAGACCAAAAAAAAGAAACAGAAACAAACTTAGCAAACATACCCCGCACCAGTCATATCACCAGACAGCAACAAAAGAACAAAAGTAGCACGCGTTAGATAAAACAAAACAGAACCAAGAGATAAGCTTAATGCACACACCAGAGTTTGGCGTGATCCAGTCACACCTCTTCACGGGTCCCGACACCTTCATTGAGACGTCCGCGACGCCAACGCCGCGAGGAACTACATCCATGGTCTTCAGTCCACTACGCTTGGCCACCGTTCTTTTAGCGACCGTCTTTTTCGCGGAGGAGCTGCTGGAAGACGAAGAGGAATCAGAGGAGGCAGAGCTGTCAACTGAAAAATTGTTTCGCACGGCTGATTCTGGCACCTTCGTCACCGGCTTTCTCTGTCTCTGCGGTTTCTTAAGAGCTTGGGTCTTCCATTCCAAGTCCAAAAGCCTAACTCGGTTCCCAGTGGAAGCGAGTACCGCTCGTGGTTGCGTGACCTGTTTAGGTGATGACTGGGGGCTGGCAGCCACAGACATTGGGGGTGTTAAAAGAGTGTGGTGTAGGAACAGATTTGAGAGATTAAAGCGGACAAGGTTAGCTTGGAGATGGAAATGATAGGAGTTTTTCGTCAAAATTGTAGAGTAGGATTTGAAGAGAAGTGAAGAATTTGAAAAGAAAATGGGAAGGGTTAGGTTTTCAGAGATGGGAATGGAGAGTGGATGGAGGAGGAAAATGACGTTAAACCGACGGGGTTTTAAAAAAACGGTAACCTGACCTGACTGGGTGGGGTGATATTGAAATGTCAGTCAGTCTGGCATTTTCCATTCGGTTGAAACTGGAGATTAAGTCTTAATCTGAGTTTGACAAGAAGGATAAAGGTCCAATTAAACAGATGTAACTAAGGTTAGAATCCAATTACCATCATCATTTAAGTTAAGATGAAATAGAAGTGGGACCCAGGTAGTTGGGGGGATAGTATTAAGAGTGGGTAACAAGAAAGCGCAGGGGCAGAAAAGGTATTTCGCACCGCATTCAGTTGGTAAAGAAAAAGCTTAACGCGGACGTTGACAAAAAGAATCCAATGCCCAACGGCCATATCCCCCCCTCTCTCCTTCCACCCATCTCTTTCTCTCCCTCCACTGTTTCCTGCAAATTCTTATTTTACTTTCCAAAGTATTAATACAATTTTATCCATTATATATATTTTATGGCCCATAAACTGTTCTTCTTTTGTCCAACACAAAACTAAATGGGCCAGATTATTCACATTTTGATCTTATATAATGGGCCACAGCCTCCTGAATTTGTTCTAACAATGTTCGAACATAAGCGTGAGAGTGAATCCATGGAGTGAGCAACTACATTTCCCAAAATATGGTAACCTTCGAGCAATTTAGGGTTTCCAATTGGTGAGCCGTGGAACCGAGTGCCTGCATTGTTGATTCCAGAGGGTTTTACGTGGTTGAGGGGAAGACACTCGATCGAGATTTGCACAGGTAATACTCACTTTAGTCTTTGATTATTTAGGGTTTCCAATTGGTGAGCCGTGGAACCGAGTGCCTGCATTGTTGATTCCAGAGGGTTTTACGTGGTTGAGGGGAAGACACTCGATCGAGATTTGCACAGGTAATACTCACTTTAGTCTTTGATTATTTAGGGTTTCCAATTGGTGAGCCGTGGAACCGAGTGCCTGCATTGTTGATTCCAGAGGGTTTTACGTGGTTGAGGGGAAGACACTCGATCGAGATTTGCACAGGTAATACTCACTTTAGTCTTTGATTTACCTAGGCTTCAATTTGAGAGCCATAATGAAGATTTTTTGTTGCTCCAAAATGCAGTTTACATGTTTGTATTGTCCTTGTAGTATAGCGATCATTTCTTTTGGCTTGATGATTTTATTTGTACGTATTCTTTGATTGGCCCAGAAATAGAGTAGATCGACCATAATCGAAGCATATAGAAAAACATCTACTTTTTGTTGGAGTAACATATAATGTTGCCACTGTTTGATTGTGGCATGGCGTATGAGACCTGGTCTTAGCCCTCACTGTGATACTAACCAAAGGATTTGGTTAGATGATAGTGGAGAAAAAGGTGATGTAGGACTCCTCTCCAGCACTATATAACCTGCAACGGTTAAGAAAAGGGGATTAGGTGTAGAAGTCATATTGGAGTATTATCTATACCACATGAATTTATGCCGAGGTAGGATATTTAATTCTATTAGAAGCTTCCAGTTTATATGATTTGCTCTGTGTCTGAGGTTTGTGAATGTTTTACGTAGGAGTTAGTAGGCTGTTATAAGGTCAACTATTTATTTTCTTGTGTGTGCCGAGAGCCCATTAAGTTTGGGAAGGGTGTGAAGTGTTGATGGGAGTTGACATTATTGATTAGACTATGTGAACAGGGTCTAGGGAGATGACATGGGAGTAATCCCATTGGTGGGTAGTAGGGTTTACTGTTGGACATTTGTGAGCTGAGAAGTGATTGGAGGGGGGTTAAAATGAATTTTTAAGGAAGGGATCCAAGGGTCCGACTGAGTCTGGGTTAATTTCGTTGTAGCAAACGATATGTAATATATGTTTTGTTTTGAGAATACCATTCCATAGATAAGAATCTTTTGTTGCTAGGACTATGAACTTTCAATACCATTCATAATGGATTAATCTATTTGAATTAATGATATCCAAATCATATTAGTTCTCTGGTTACTGGATATTTTATCATACTGTATTTGTTACAAAAAGCCGTCCACATAAACATACAAACTCTAGTAATTGAGGATCAGTAAGAATTATTGGTGGTAGTGAATTTAGTGGAAAAAGAGCGAGAATGAGATGGAATAGATGGAGTAGAATTTTGATCTCAGTCAGAACAGAAGGAAGAGAAGTTATGGATGTTGAAGAAGAAAAAAGTTGGCGATCTATGGCTACAAATGGCAACAAAGCGTACTTTTATTTTTTAAATTGTGTCGAGTTTGCAGGTTATTTGACTTGCATATGACCTGCTCATTAATAAAAATTTTATACTCTTTACATATGGTTACATTTATATATTCTTTATATGTTTATATTAATAAAAAAGTTATATTAATATATTTATGTTTGTCTTCATAAAAATGAAATATGCATAATGAGTCGGGCTTCGCCAGATTTTAATAAACCAAACCCGAACATTCCTGCTCTGGTATAATTTTTCTGCCAACACGAACCTGATTCAACTTGAACTTGCTGTTTGTTAAAAAAAAAACTGCTACAGGTCAGGTTCAGGCAGATTGATTTATGCAAGTTTGGGAAAAAGAAATTCATCCCTATCTGTGACTCTAATACCATGTCAAGTAAACAGATAATAGGTGAAGAGTTGTTATTAGTATTGTACTTCCATCAAGTATATGTAGGTATATGAGATGATATAAGTACATGAAGCATTTGAAAATACAATAAATGTAAGATTACTCCAAAAGAGATAGGTACAATAAATGAAGTATTTGATAAAATACAATAAATGAAAAATACAATAAATAACGTTTGTCACTGAATTAACTCATAAATAATTCATGCAATGCTTACTCTAAAAGAGATCAAAAAAGTTACTTAAGCGATATGTGCACTTAACTAGGTACATATAAAATATATATATATATTTATTTTGAAGAAGAAGAGAGCACAATTTATTTTGTTATATATGGTGATGGGAGCTAAATTAATTAGTTTAGTCTCCATTGCTTGGCCACACAAGATAGTGATTCATAAGAAGACCCCCCATAATCTAATGATTTTAAAGCGCTATCTTTTAGTTCCTTAACTCTGCACCTAATAGCCTTTCCTTCCTCACCCTCCATTAGTACTCTCACCACTCTCTCTATCTCTTCACGTCTAACCACTGTCTTTCCTCTCTCCACCTCGGGCCTGATTGCTAGCTTTACCTCCTCTGTCAGAAATGTTGCATTCGTTCTCTGTTCTGCATAAAGGGGCCAAGTGATCATTGGTACGCCATGAGTTATGCTTTCAAGTGATGAATTCCATCCGCAGTGAGATAGGAAACCGCCTGTTGATGGATGGCGGAGTACTGTGGTTTGTGGAGCCCATGATGGAATCACCAGACCCAATGCGTTAGTCCTCTCAAGGAATCCTTCTGGGAGATATGTCTTTGGGTCATTCAGCTCACTACCCACATTGAAAAAGGTGCCTGAGGCAGTATCACAAGGTGGGCGAACTACCCAAGTGAATCGTTGCTGACTTAGTTCGAGACCCCAAGCTAGCTCCCTCAGTTGCTCAGTTGACAAGGTGCCTCCGCTCCCAAAGGACACGAAAAGAACTGATTCAGATGGTTGCTTGTCTAGCCATGCTAGATACTCAGCATCCTTCGAGCTCAATGGTTCATCTTGCTTGACCAGCGGACCAACAGGATAAACTGGCGGGGCATGTATTTGCTTATAGAAAGTATTCTCTCTTATTGCCTTGAGTGCCACTGGCTCAAGATCATCCCACGAATTGAGAAAAATCCCAGCTGCTAATGGAAATCTACTAGAAAGAAGTACGAATAGCTGGTAATCATCAGTCTTCCTATGGCGAACTGGGTCAGCTAGGTCTTCAGGCCTGACTGGTGTACAACCTGGAACTTCAATTGGCTCTGGAAGATCAACGAGCTCACCCTCGACCTCATGGTCAAGCGTAGGGAGGTACAAACAGAAAGCAAAGAAAGCCGTGGATGTGGTGAAGAATAAATATGTGGGAATGTCCAATTGGCTGCAAATTTCAAAAGCCTGGGTACAAAAAAGATCAATGACCAATGCTTTCGGCTTGCCCAAATCAATCAGAAGTGACTTAAGAGACTGGAGGCTCTCCTCTACAATAACACCAATCTTGTGGGCTATGGGGATGTCAGGGCTGCATACCGTAGCTACGTCGACTCGAGGCAGGTCAACAATGTCAAGGCCATTGGGGAGGGAAGGTGAGCGGAGGAGGTGGTCTTGTGCAGCTGAGGATTCAGTAGTGGTGATGTTGAGGAAGCTGACATGGGAATCGTGGTAGATAACAAGTCGCTTGGCTAACTCAAGAAGGGGGATGATATGTCCTAGGCCTGGACTTGACAATACGGCCACATGAGTTTTGTTAGGTGTAGCAACCACCATGATCAAGTCGTCTAAAGTCTCAGTAGGAAGATTAATGGAGTGGTTCTGTTTATCTTAGTGCTGAGAGATGCCCTTGGATTTATAGAGATGGAAATTGGGTGTGGCTTTAATTAATTCAATGGCATATGTACTTAGATGCAAATGTAACATCAAACCAATGCATATTGGAAAAAACAATTGTCACGCATGTATTAATTTTTCTGTTCTTCTTTTAATGTCATAATTTTTGGTGTTTTACAGGCACTAAAAAAATTTTATCTTAGTGCTTTGAAAAATTATTTTATTTGTGCTTTGGTGTTTTGCAAATATGAAATCTTTACATACTCACATGAAAAGCTGTTTATATATAAATATAAATTTGAACAAAAAAATATTTTCCTGTACCAAATAAAATTTTAATATATCAACAACTATTTTGGAGATAATACAACTAATTATGAAATAAGATAATATATATATATATATATATTGGAATCCTATTACATTGCTATTAGTGGGAAGGAATAAGAACATAATTTTTTGACTCATTACTGTTGATTCTCATCTTCATATTCAATTTGTTCTGAAAAGCAATATACAATTTGTAATAAGTTGGCATAATTCCCCCAAGTGATAATAGCAGTATCATCAATCCTACTGGTCACCTTCACCTCCGAATTTGGACAAGTTGGAAAATTTGTTCACTTTCTTATTTCATTCAGTCTCAAAATTCAGATTTAAGATACCTTATATATATATATATATATATTTTAACTTTTATATTCTAAATTTATATGCATAATTTTTATATCCTAAATTTTATACGTAATTTTTTAATGTAATGTTTGGCAGTACTATAATTGAGATACGTATAGTGTCAGTTGTGATAATATGTCCTTCATCATCTTATGTAAGGTGCTCATTTAGTAACTAAATGTTCAGTTGTGATAATAATGCAGTTGAAAGTGAGATACATGACTGTTTCACGTGAAAATGAAAGCAGGTGATTTTGAAGGCGAAATACGAAGTGTGAACTCTTTATGCAGTTTGAACCTCTGGGTAGTGTAATTATTAGGTTATTCATGGCTCTAGTACGGAGACTTTACACATAACTGAAGTTAGGTTGTAGCTTCCACTTCGCTGCTTCGTGAATTGTGGACGTGTCTTGGTTCTTTTACGGGTTTGTTTGTTAGAATTATCTGTCTAGTAATATGTGGTCTAGAATTTAATTTTCTAAAATAAAATTAATTCCCTTAAATTTTTTTTAAAAAAATTACTGCTATTTGTAAATAAGTCTGGTGAATTGAGAAAGAAAAATATTATAAATCGTGTGGATCTGAGGCTAAAATGGTCTTTTCAGTTTTAATAAACTATTCATCCATGTCGGTTACAGCGGCACACATAACAAAGAAGCGTGTGTAGGTGTCAAGTATATAAAATCTCATTTACGGATCAGAGCCGCTGCGCCAAAACGCATCGTTTCGCTTTTCAATTCTGAGAAATAAAGAAGCAAGTTATTACCAGCAAGTCCAGTTGGTCAATCACCCTCCACGAGGTCTGCGTTCTCCTTCCTCCTCTCTCCCATCTCTGCAACGTCATGGATTTGAAATCTCCGGAAAAGAACTCCACGGAGTTAACTAATCCAACTCCCCTTCCCCCGCAAAACCCTAAAACCCAAACTGGATCAAAACCCAAAGATAGAGACTTGTTAAACCATCTCGAAGCTTACCTTGCAAGGAGAGACGGAGTGGACAAACTCCTCAAGATTTCCAGGTACGCCACCAAGATTATCTTAGCCTCCTCCGTCGTACCGGAAGCCCTCACCCTGAATCGTCGCCTCAAGAGCTTCGAGTCCAGTGTGGGACTTAGTCGGAAAGCGTTTCGACTCGGCAAATTCGTGCAGGACTTGAATGCGTTAAGGAACTCGCATTTCGATTCAAAGCAAGAGATCTTCTTCTCAATTATCGCCTACGGGGGCGAGGGTGTGTATTACTTCGTTGAACAATTCGTTTGGTTAGCAAAATCTGGTTTGATCGACAGTAAACATTCGCGTAACTTGCAGATAATCAGTGCTTGGGCGGAGTTCATTGGTTACTTCGGGAGTATTGCACTTAAGATAAGGGATTTGAAGAAAATAATGGAGGACGAGGCATGTTTGAAATCGAGTATTGAGATCTCGATTTCCAGGGGAATTTCATGCAAGGGGAAAGAGGAGAAGATGAGAAAATTGAGAGAGAAGAAGATGATGAAGAAATTATCAGTTGTACAAGATTTGGCAGATGGGTTGATGTCGCTAGCGGATATTCGAGATGGGAAGGGGAGACTTTCGGGTCCGCTGGTGGTGTCCAGTGCTGGACTTTTATCAGCCATCATCAGTACTCATAAGAACTGGTTGTCTTGTTGAGTCCGGTGGAAGAGGGTGAGTTTCAATTTCAGTGGTTAAATAATGAACTTAATTTAGGTGCCCATGGTGAGAGTTCATGGGAGAGAAACATGGTAAAGTGACCCTATAAGATTTTTTATTTGGGGGGTTCTTAATCATACATCTACTTTCAGGAATAAAAAGCCACACCAATCACTATTCTGCTTTTCTAAGTTTTATGAATTATTTATTAATGGCTTTACGGATTATCTACCATCTGGGTATCTTAATCCCTGTAACTGTGTCAGCTGTGATGAGCAGGAAATATTTGACTAGTGTATAAATGGTTCTGGCTAGAATTTCACATCTCATTTTCTTTTGATACCCTTTAGAAATATTTCTATTCAAGCAATTAGCCTAATTAACATTTTACTGTATACTCTTCAAAGAATTCTTGCATTACAGGCGAATGTTATGAGTTGAAGTCAATTAGAACATTATGGTCTCACTAATGAGCTGGAATATTTTGTGTATGATGCGTGCAAAAGATGGTTCCAACTCAAAAGGAAAACCCGTTAGGTAATGAAAAGACTACAATTACAAAGATGACAAGCTTCAAATCCAGGAGATTGATTACACGTTTATAGGGGTTAGTTTTCACCCTCCCCAGGAAGATACACTTACTAGGTGCATAGCAAGCAGCCTGTGATATCACCACCTGACCTGACCTTTGAACAAAAGAAGTAAACAAAAAAAAAAAAAAGTGACAAACTTCACTCCCGAAAATAATAATAATAATAATAATAAATGGAATCTCAAGCTATAGGACATGATAACAATATAATAAAAACAATCACGTACCGAGAAGCTTGTGGAACATCCGCCAAACACTCTTCTTGGCCATCATCTTTCCTTCAAGGAATTGTTATTAGACCTTTTCAATTCCCATGGAGGTAGGAAGCCTCTCAAAGGAGATTGTAGGAACAAGGAAGACGTTGACAATTGCTTCTGCCGCATGGAGATCGAAGACAGGCAACTGAACGCGCTTCGTAGCCTCCTATTTTCACTATCATATGATTCACAGTTAGGGTCATGCTGCACTGCGGAAATCTTGAGGGCTTCTGGGAGAATGCAATTGCAGATTGAACCTGCCAGACACAGTGAACAAATCATAAATGGAAAAACCAGTTTATGGAGAGGGGTGACGCAATGCAGCATAACAATAAATAATAGCACCAGCAATCTTATTGTTTTCTTTTTTCAAAAAAAGTTATCCTAGTAACTAAAATTTAAGACATCTGTGCCAGCATCAGTCACCAAAATGAATATGTTATTTCACCATCAAAACTGTAAAATTTTCAAACCCACATTTTTAGGCACTGCCAAAAAGTTCACAATATTTACAAGGTTTTAACCAGGTCCGTGAGAAATAGTAATAGCTGCAACTGCGAGTTGACAGTATTTTATGACCTGCAGAAAAATTAGTTGTGCAAATTCTTCCAGGGAACCAATTTTTTTATCACAGTTTTTCTATCTTCAATACATGCATAATCCAGAAGATCAAGTTTAACATTAAAAAGAATTCCTGTTCCTAAGACTTAGAAGTCCACTATCATGGCAATCTGACTGGAAGACCTGAGAGCAAGTAATGGCAAATAGTCTCCTGACATTGAATTTCTGTTTCTAATTGAGAAAGGATCTCACGTGTTAAAAGATTGGTAAAAGAAGTATATGCTTAGAAAGTTTAATGGCTTCAGTTTTCCAAAGAAAAAGAGAGAATTCAAATGCAAATTTTTATTTGAGGAACAATACCTATTTTTGCCAGTCTATTTACCCATTTTGGGATTTGCTTCCCAGTCAATTTGTAACAAACGTCCTTGCAGAAATGGTTGCAGTTCTTAACTATCAAGTGATACGCATCACCATTGTAGCTCGAGGATTGCTGCTCCATGAACTCCCTCACCT